TGGGGTCACGTAGGCCGCCTCCACTGCATAGCAGAACTCCCGGCCGAACATGGCCATGCTGTGCATGACCAGTCGACCCGTGGGTCTTCTGGGCGGCTCCATGGCGGCGAAGGCACCATCCTCAGCTAGGGATTTATAGGTGTGAAGTCCAGGCTGCCCACTGTTGCCACCCATGGCCACCGGGTGAGGAACCTGCCTGCAAGTCCACACCTCAGAGGCCCTTGGGTTTGTGCTGCAAGCTGGATTTGACAGGGAGCCAGGCTGAGCCCCAGCAGAGATGGGCAGGCTGGGGGTGGGGCTCAAATTCTTTCATGCCTTTGAGATCACAAGTTATGATGCGAGGGAGGACGGGGTGGGGGTGGGGGTACTGGAGAGCGTGAGGGAGATTAGCAGCAAAAGCCCTCTGGCTCCTCAGAATGTTTTTCTAAAGGAATCTTCCTTTGTTCTGCTCTCTCTCCTCTCTTTCTCTCTCCCTCCTGTCTCACCACCAGCACAGAGCTTTGGAACAAGCACTATTATGGCGTTAAATCAAAATATGAAGGAGCCAATTATCTTTTTGTAAGCTTTTTTGAGATAAAAATCTTCTGTTCTTTCCTGAATGTAAGTTCCTACACTCACACCTCCAGCCCATTAACTAGACTTAAAAAGGCGGGAGATTGCAGCCTCCCTATAAACCACCAGCTGACAGCACTGCGATATTCCCTTCCTTGCATTTGACTCACTTTATAATTAGGTAGTTCTGGGGTAAGTCTGTTTCTCTGCTGTTCAGTTTTGGATCCCCTAAGAGCTGTGAGCAGGTCTGATTTGCTTATAATGATGCTCTCAGCAGATAGCGTGATATTTGGCACCCAGCAGGTACTCAGTGTATCTGCTAAAGGAATTACGGAACGAATAAAGTGTATACACCACACCTGCAGTGTCAGTAACCACCTGTCGCTCAGCCCCTCCCACATGCTCTGCACCATTAGTGGCTACACTTCCCAGGCTCCCTTGCTTTCTAGCTACTGGGTAGATTTGTCTATGGGAGTGGGAGTAAGGAAATGGTGTCTTCCTTTCTCTTCTTCCTGAGATCTCTGTCCGGGGCTGCATCTCCTCCTCCGGGGCTGCAACTTCCACAATCAACCTTGGTTCCTGGGGGCAGGAAAGACTGCCTTTCCCAACATGGCCACATGGTCAGTGGCCACTGCCACAGCTGCTCACAGCTGGGTGGCCTCACCATCTCCTGGGGTTCTCTGCTTTTATCATCAGTGTAATTCTTTATATTAAACTTTCTGTTTGGCCTCCTGTTTGCACCTCCCTGGTGGCGCAAGGGGTTAAGCACCGCACTATGAAGCAATCCGCAGCCTCTGCAGCATGTGTTCGATCCCCGGCCAGCCAGGGAGAAACGCACATGGCGCGCAGACCTCTCCTGCTGTGCCCGCTGCTCCCCTCAGCAGTGTATTTCAGTCAATCTACCTATTCAGTTCCCCACTCTGTCTCTGGTGAATCCTCTCACCCCCCTATCTCTGGCCTGTACCCGAGCTCTTGTGTGCATAAATAAATCAATCTTAAAAAAAAAAAAAATTCCTGTTTGACAGGCTTCATTGGATCCTATTTTCCTTCCTGGACCTCCTGGGTTCAAGTGAAAGTTCTGAATGACAAGGGAAAGGTGATCTCATAAGAAGTGTCCTAAAAATGGTTTGAGCAAAACTTGGTCAGAAAGTACAGTTCTGGTTCCACCGCATCCTGCCTGTATGTCCCTGGACAGGTCATTTTAAACGGTGTTTCCCAACTATGTGTGAAGGTGCCTCAGGGCCCCACAATGAACTAAGAGGGGCGTTTGGGATATTTAAAAATTCAAAGTGAACAGAGTGAGGTCATTTACACTCGCCACGTAACACGGCACTGCTTTGCTTTCCTATTTTTTGTGAAGCTGGGTTTTCCAGTTATGAGAAAAAAGAAAAGACTGTATGAAAACCACCTGGCGCAGGAGATGAGATGACTGATATCCAATTTGATGCCAGGACACGAGAAGTTGCCAGGGTCTAACAGGTACATAGAACCCATTTGCAAGGGCAGGAGTGGGCACAGGGCTGGATCTTTATGACCCGAGCAGACAGGGTGGAGAGAGTCCTGGAGCCCTTGGTAGCTTTTGCAGGATTTTATTGGGATTTACCAGCCACACGGCAGGCAGGGGTGCTGGGGGGCTGGCAGGCCTCCCAGCAAGTCTTCACTCTGTCTGGGCTTTCCGGCCTTCTCTGGTGATCTCTGCTTCTCGTAGTTCTCTCTGCTTCTGCTGGCATCTCCGTGACGCCGCCCTTTTATAAGCCCAGTCTCAGCCCAGGTGAATCCCATCTACATATGCCCACACCCTACTCCAGGTGCCCGCCATCAGGCATGCATTCAGGACCACAAGGATCCATCATCCATCCTAACCACGGGAGGGCAGAAAAGTCTGATATCTCTTCACTTACCCTGCACTACTGCTGAGCAATTGTAATTAAAATGAGAAATGTTTTCTTTCAATTTATGAGTATTGTATTTTTAAATAGTTACTTAGTTGTAAGGACAAAAATACTTAACTTGTTGGGAACTATTTATAAATGGGATCACTGGATACTTCTTTGGACGTAGGGCACCATGAAAAAATTCCTGAGATGCTAGAAAGTTTCAGGCCATCGGGGTCCCTGTGTTCTCACCTGTGAAATAAGGAGACCTGCCCACCTTCGCCTCTGATGGAAGAGCAGTCGAGATACTGTCTGTAAAAGATGTTCCTGGCTGTCTGTACAGCATCCTTTCTCCACTTCCCCATCCTAAAGGAAGCTGGATTCGATTCTGGAATCCACCCCTCCCTCACACAGTAGGAAGCTGAGTCCAGGGGGAGTTCCAGGAGCCAGTTGGCTTTTATCTAAGGGCAAACCTAATCTCTGCCAAAGACACATACAGGCCTGGCCCAGGAATACAATCCCTCTTTCACTAGACTTGGCCATCTTTTAAAGAACTACACTAAAAGCATCAATTTACTGCTTCTTTTCTATTCTTCAAGTTCCATATTTCCTCCTTACCTGCCCCCTCCCTATTTCTAAATCTGGTTTCTCTAAAGATAAATGAAAAAAGAGGAAGCATAGCATTTTCTGCAGTCTCGGTGTCTTACATACATTTCTTTAAAAGTTTACAGCTAATTTTTCAAATAGTTTCATGTCTATCACAGAATTCTATGTTCTAAACTAGCCCACCTGTTTATTTTACAGGTGTTCGCCAACTTGTTTTGGTATTTACCAATTTATGTGTATTTTATATACATCAACAGATACTCTCTTGAGCACCTATATGGCGGTAACAAAGGTAAAAAGACTTGGTTTCCTATTCATTAGAACCGTGCCACTCAAAGCTCAGTTTTTGTACTGCAAGGATTAAAATCACCTGGAAGTATGGCAGAACTACAAATCCGTGGGCCTCACCTAGACCCTCTCTCTTAAAATCGGATGATTCTTTTTCATGCTAGACCAACTACTCTAAGAGCTTATGGCCTGGTGAAGTTATGTAAACTACACTAACAGCAATTACTACCCTTGGAGATACGTAAAAGTACAGTGGGAACGCAGGCAGGGCCTACCTACTAAGAGCAAGCACTCACAGTATTGAGCACTGTGTCCTAGGCACGTCACAGGCATTATCTTAGACATCACAAGACTGAGTGAGGCCTTTCTGACTTCAAAGGTCATAATCACTCCACAAAACTGCTTTGGGATTGAGAAACAGAAGACGTTTCACAAAGAAGGCTGCATTTGAGTCAAGCCTATTTCCTAAAAAACATGCTGGAGTAAAAGGACTCAGGAGTATTGTCTGTCATGGAAAATGCTGCATGTGGAACGCATGGAGGCAAGAGAGATCGTAGCATATTCAGGAATTCAAGCAGTTCAATGTATAGTATTGGAGAGCAGGGGTAGAGACATGAGTAGGCAGCTATCAATAGGTAGAAATCTTATTCTAAATATGGGAATAATATGCTACGTGAGTTTACATTTTGTTCTATTAGGAAAAAAGGCCATTAAAGAATTTTATAGGCTTCAAAAAGACCAGTTTGGTGTCACAATGACTACTGCTAGAGTAACATGGTCCGGAAGTGAAGACAGCGATAGTGGGGACAAAAGTCAGGTAGGGAAGCTGCTAAGCAAACCCAGGGAAGAAGTGACAGGGGCCTGGATGAAGGAGCGGTGAGAGGTGGGCAGAGAGATGGATATGTAAGCTACGAAGGTGGAACAGACACTTCACAACCGAGACTCATTCCTTTAACAAATATTCAGTTTCCACTAAGGTGAGGCACTATTCCAGGAACTGGGGACTAGGCAGTTGAAGAAAACCTACAAAGTCCTACATGAATTTTCCATTCTAGCATGTATTAAGAGGGAGTGAAGCTTGGGGTTAATAAATATGTCGGCAGTGATAGAAGTATGTGAAGAAAAATGAAATGGGGGGAGAGCAGAGCGTGTGATCAGGTGGCTGCCATTCTAAATAGGAGTCAGGAAAAGACTCTCCAGAAGGTGGTATTTGAGGCGTGGCCGAAATGAAGCGAGGGGTAAAGCATGGGCAGACTGGGGGCAGAGGGAGACATGGTGGAGTGGAAGCTAGAAACTAACAGCAGGCAAAGTAGTAGGACTTTCAAATGGATGGTGGTACAATTTACTGGGAAAGAGCAATGCTTGGGTGGTGCTGGCGTGCATCTACACAGCAGGCAGGCTCTCTGAGGACTGGTCTACAGGGAGGGATGAGAGTTTATCTGAAGGAAACCTCTAGAAAATTTTCTAACATTCCAATTCAAACACAAGCTGAACAATATCCTCATCAAAAATATCAGACACCTAAGGACTTATATTATGATTAATGGCGAAGACTAAAATATTTCAGTGAGTCACAAAATGTTAAAGAATTTTCTTGAACAGTTTTCATAAACTTAAAAGCAAATTGTGCTTTCAAGGGGAAAAAGCCTTTTTTAGTAAAAAAGCAATAAATCAATTCATTTAAAGTATATTATAAATATTTATGTAATTTGATGTCAAATATAATCTCTCAAGTTGGAAGGTAGAAAATTGACATAATGTAGTATAAATTGAAAACAGTCCAAAGCTATTTTCAGAATTCAATCATTACTGTACAATCAGAATCAGAGTCTTGTTTCTTAATTAGAAGAAGTAGATCACTATGATACTGGTTCAAGTTTCCACAGATACACTGGTATGTATTATTCTAGACTATAAATGCAATGTTCAAATTCACTTGAGCTGAGCCATTGGTTAGAGACGAGCCATTGGTTTTTGACTTTCAATAATTTTATCTGACATAAGCTCGTCAACCTCTGGCTGGCTGAACCCAAACTCTTTAAGTATCTCTTCACTGTGTTCTCCTACAAAAGGATCCCTCTTGGAAGAAGGGGTAGCTGGTGTGTTAGACAGCAGGGGTGCAGGGCGAGGACTTGTGCCCAACTTCAGATCCGTGATAAATGAGCCCCGATCTTTGTTATGACCGTGATGGGTAACCTCTTCAAAAGTCAGAACTGGAGTCACGCATGCATCTGTGTCATCAAAGATCTGACACCACTCTGCTTTTGTCTTCTTTGCAAATACTTCTGCAAATTTCTTCTTCATTTCTGGCCAATCAGTTATACTCATCTGATTGGGAAGTTCATCAGACTTTAGCCCAAGTCCTGAAAGAAAAAGTTTCTTCAGTGATTATGCAGCTCACTATTCTGTCTAACATTGGAATGAGACTGGGAGTTCTCTGAATAACTTTAATGCAATGTTTATTAAAGAATGAGCAATTAAAAAGGCTATTAAAGCTTATATATATTAGAACAATATCTGCAGAAATTGTTTCGAACTCAGGTCAACAAAAACTTTTTGATATATCTTATCACTGTCATTTAGATTTGCTATGCATAATAATGAAAAGATGACTAAAATTTAATCAAACTTGTTCATAGATGTAAATTCTCTATAGATGATTCATAGACACACAAGGTTCGGGAAAGTGCACACTCTTCTGTCCTCTGTCCTGCTGCTCTCCTGGCCTGGAGCACGGGACTGGGAGTGTCACTCTACTGCTCAGCCCTCCGTGTAGCGCTGTTCTGTTAGAACTGTGAATTAAGACCTTCTGTTTTTAGTTTTCATTTCTGGACAGAAAACAGTCCTATATGCTCTAGGTAACCATTCTGTTTTTCTAATGATAATGAAGTTAGTGAAGTTAATATAGATGATCATAAGATGCTTTCTAATACTTGCAAAAACAATCATTTCAGTTGCATGCAAGTAACTCTGAGTGTATGTTGCACCTGAAAAGCTCTCAGACATGACAATGAAACAGACTCAAAGCGGAAAGATAAATGTGGGTGTAACCAATATGCCTCCACTTGAGGGGTATTCTAAAACTTCTCAGATGCTAAATTATCTGTAAAGGAAATGTTAAACGCAAACATTTCACAGAAACAAAATTAATTCAACACAATTATTTAATTAAGAAAGAAGAGATTCCAATTTTTTCTGCTAACTTGGGGCAACATGTCACTCAAACAAGAATCTGCAAGGTAAACTATGGCTGCAACAAGTGATGAGAATGTATTTTATCGAAATCTCATTCACCAAAGTCTCTCTGTGCTCTGGCAGAACTGGGGGATCATCCCTCAGCAGTGTATTTCGTCAGTCTGCCTGTTCTGTTCTCCGCTCTGGCTCTGGTGAATTCTCTCACCCTCCAGTGCTTCTGACTGTACCCAGTGCTTGTATAAATAAATAAATAAATCTTTAAAAAAAAAAAAAAAAACAACAAAGAACTGGGGGATCATTTTTCAGGGGGAGTAAGATGTGGGTACACAAGGGCAAGATAAATATCCCAAACCACTGAGTATAACATGTAAAACAAATTGAACTCCCACAAAAGGGATACTTTTCAAAACCCTAAGGCAATTTTTGTAGACTTGTAAAATTACCTGTCATTTTTTTTCAAATGCAGGAAACGTCCCACAATATAATGATGGCTATAATTATGTTCATTATAAAGTGGATAATAAAAGGTATCAAGAATTTCTACAGGGCCCCAAAATAGAACCTAAAGGCAGGTACAGAAAAAAGGGGAGGGAGCGTGTGAAATACTCACCTTTGATGAACAGCTTGTAGAACTGGGGCTCGATTGCTCCAACAGCCATGAACTCCCCATCTGCTGTCCTATAGGTTGTATAGAAAGGCGCACCACCATCTAGCAAGTTCTGTCCTCGGGGCTTTTCCCACAGACCTGTTCCTTGAGTTTTCCACAGAAAAGAACTTAGATATGCTGCCCCTTCCACCTAGGAAGAAAGAGAACACAATCTGAATTCAGGCAATTCATCAATAAAAGCATGAGTCATGTGTACCTAGGTGTTTTTTTGATATTTGTGTAAAAATACTTATCTTGCCATGTAGAAAGATTCTAATTATACAACGTCTTTGGTATTTTGAGAATTTCAGTTAGTGCAGGTGAAATGCACTAACTGTGCTATGAAGCTGGTTTCTAAACTAATCAGTTCAGAAATTACTGTTCCAAGGAGACTTTTAGTTTCTCTTCCAAATGAGACTATCAAAACACTGATCATTTTTAAAGCTAGGTGAAAGATACACAAAAGTTCAATACACAGTGTCTCCACGTTTACATATGTTAAAAACACATTTACATATATTAAAAACTGTTGGGCTAAAAATAAAGCAAAAAGATTTCTAAAAATCCATCTTCTGGGGCCTCCCTGGTAGCAAAAGGGGTTAAGACGCAACCTATGAAGCTCACCACAGCCACTGCAGCACAAGTTTGATCCCTGGCCAGGGCGGTGACCCACATGGCACAGCAGACCTCTCCTGGCTCGCCCGCTGCTCCCCTCAGCAGTGTGTTTCAGTTGATATGACTGTTCTGTTCCCCACTCTGTCTCTGGTGAATCCCGTCACCCCCCAAAACTCTGGCCTGTACCCCACTTTTTGTGTGTATAAATAAATCTTTAAAAAAATCCATCTTCTGATCTTAACACCACTAGACACATATACACAGACATATGAAGCATATCACATTTTAAAAGTAAATCATATTATAATTAAATTTAGCTTATTCTAGTTTGAATTCAAGCCTAAGAAAATTATAGTTGAATACTTAATAATCACTAAAAAGTTACCACATAAACACAACAATACTGGTGGCAGGTATATGAATTTCTGAGTCTAGACAATTAAGTTTGGGAATTCCAACTTCCCCGAGTCCTGAAATAAGAGGAATGGATTCACATCCTCAGAGACAGTTATCACAAGGCTGGCACGCTGGCCAATCGACAGAGGACTACCTCCTGTTATCATGGCTTTGTACAATCCGGATGATTCCCCGCACCCCTGGGATAAAGCCATCAAAGCATTCTTGTTTCCAAGGTTACCGACCCATTCAAATGATGAGCATGGAATTTCTCACAATTAGTAGTTGCGAAGCAAACATAAAACACATCTTTGGCTACATCCCAACTTTCCCTTTTTACTTTAAATCTCATGTATATTTTGATTTATGGCTCAAACATCTGTCATCACCAAACAGTGGAGTTTAAAACAGGGTTACATGGATCCTAGATATGCATACAGATACGCATGTGTGTGCGCGCACGCGCGTGCACACACACACTTAATATCTTTTATATACTGGATATACTGAGGGATCTGTTGAAAAAAGATGCACTATTAGACTTCAAAGTCCAGGTTGGCCCACCTGGGGTACAAACAGGCTCTAGCCAAACCCTATCTTCTTAGTGCTATAGGAGGACATAGAACAAGAGACACAGCAGCTACAGTCCTCGTCTCATCACGAGGCTCACAGGTGCACTCAGGTTGGGGGTATTCCCCCAGATCAGGGATGAATACAGCAAAATGGATCCTGTTCGCCACACTTAACTGCAGAGTCACCAAGGAAACAGTGCTATGAAGAAAAGATTCCAGGTTCTCACAGTCAGACCTGGGTCAAGGTTTCTGCTGCTAACAATATTTGACAACCACCAGCCTAAAATTGTAAGTTACAGGTTTCCCATAGTCAACTTTACAACTATTTGTGTCACAGGGGCTCCTAGAGATGGGGACGTGATGATGCTTTAATGATCCAGTTGGCCCTGAGTAATTAACCAACATTCACCATGCCCTACAGCAAACACAAACCCTGACTAAAGCTCACATTTTCACATACTCTAAAACCTTACTATGATCCTAATTGTTATGTAATTCTTTCATCAGACAACATCTGATGAAGCAGCAACCATCTTTTATTTATAAGATTATTAAAAAAAGCAATTACTTGTCTTTAGTAAAGTATTCAAATTATTCCTAAGTAAGTATAGTCTTAAATTCTCTTTAAAGCCCTGGAGGCAGCATGTCTGGGACCATGCCCAGAGAGGCCAGCAGAGGGCAGTGATGACCGCAGGGTCAAACTGCCTGGGCTGGCGCTTCTGAGCCTTGCCAGCAGCCTGCTCTAGAAGGAGGCCGTTAACCCATCCAAGTTTGAAAGTTTCCAAAGACTGAATGAGAGCGAACACACCTCTTTCAGGGAGCTGTGTAGATCAGAGGGGGGTAGACAAATGTAAAGCTTGGACTGTAGCTGTAAGTGTAAAGGTGGTGTTGCTGCTGTTGCTACTGCCACATGTTGGGCATGTGCTGTGACTGGACCAGGATATAAAAAGATCAGTCACACACTGACATCAATTCAGTGACGGTCACAGCAGATATGTGAAATGTTCCGTGATGACAAAGGCACAGAAACAGGGCAGGGCTGGAGGTGATTAGCCTGAGAGGAAAGGAATGTGCCAGCCAAGGTCCCAGGATGGGGGATTCTGGTAGAAAACTGCTTTTGCAAAGGTCACCAAGAGCAAATCCAATTTACACTGTTCAGTTTTAAACTCTTGAGTTCTCCAACATTTGACCCTCTGGCTATTCCTTTTTCTTTCTTTTATTATTATTATTTTTTTATTTATATAAGATCTGGGGTACAGGCCAGAGACATGGGAGGGTGAGAGGATTCACCAGAGACAGAGTGGGGAGTGGAACAGGCAGATGGACCGAAAGCACTGCTGAGGGGAGCAGCAGGCGAGACAGGAGAGGTCTGCCGCACCATGTGGGAATCTCCCTGGCCGGCCAGGAATTGAACCAGTGCTGCAGAGGCTGCAGACAGCTTCACCGCACTGCATTCAACCCTCTGCGCCACGGGGAGACCCTGACCATTCCTTTTTCTTGGCACATTCTCTTTCCTTTGTTTCATGACAACCATCCCCTCTGGTTCTCCTCTTAGCCTTCTTAGCCCTTGCTTCTCTTCTGCTCCCTCTTCACACACTGAGCTGTGTCCTCTTCCCTGGCGGAACAGCCACTGTCTCACGTGGCTCCCAAATGACTCTGAAACCTGTTTCTAGTCCCTGACTTCAAGTGTTCCATGTGGATACTCAAAAGGCACTTCAACTTGAAAAGACCAAAACCTGAACTTCTTTTCTTCTAATAATAAACATAACAATAACTTTTACAAATTGCCAGCCACTGATTACAACCTAAATAATGGATGAACTCGTTAATTCTTGCTGCACCTCCCCCTGCAGTGACCCTTAGGGCTAATGCAAAATAATGCTCCACGCACAGCCACATCAATTTTCCTGGCTATCATTGCCATCTTGGCGACTCAATCCACGCCTGTACAGTCGGCCCATTTTTGGGCTTATGTACCCGAGCCGCCTTTTCTGCATCCCGTTTCCTGGACTGAAAATTCTGCCATAAAAGTTTACGTCAATGACACTAACCTCCTTGGTGGGTTAGCTGATTTTCACCCTGAACATATGGTTTCTTCCCCTATTGATTATGAGGGTTTGTCTGATGACCCTCCACTCTGTGTCTTTGCTAACTCTGTATCCCTTCCTGGTTGTATGATGCTACACTATGTTTCCATGCTCACTGATGCACCACCTCGTACCCCTCCGGAGAACCACCACGCGGACAACAGAGATCGTGTTGTCTGAGGCCTGACGTTTATGGCCTTGGACCAACTGATGGCAGACAATGAAATCCGCACCTTCTCCTCACCATCCTTTACTCCCCCTTTTCCCAACTGTGTTCAAAAATACCGGGATGTTGACCAATTCTGGGATTCCCTTATTTCTTACCCAGTTTGGCTACATTGTGGTTTCTCTCAGGCAATGCCTATATCCCCTCTTATGTCTCAGTTTACTGTGTATGATTTTTCATTTGCTGTTCCAGCCCTTCACTACAGAAAGTTTTCTGTTGGATGGGTACCACCTATGTATGCTTTTCATCATCATAATATGACTTATTTCCAGCCTGAACTTTTTCGCCTCTTCGCTGCTTTTGATGCCGTTCACTTCAAACAACCTGGATACAACACAACCAAAGTTCCTGTGCGTGCCTGCGTTGGATACCCCTTTGCTCTGCTCCTGGGAAATGCTTCATCCACACGTATCCAATCCCGTGGGAACTCTTATTCTGTCCAATGTTCCGGTTGTGTGGTTACTAATTGTATTACCCCCTCTCTTGCTCGTCTATATCCTGTGGTGGTCTTGCTCAAAAGACCCCCCTATGTTATGTTACCTGTTGATTTACATGATATACCTTGGTATGATAATACTGCCATGCAAATCTTGGATGAGGTGCATGCTCTTCTTCGTCCTAAACGTTTTATTGTTGCTCTTATTCTTGGTATTGCTGCATTAATTTCCTTAGTTACCTCTTTAGCTGCTTCCTCTGTTGCTTTAATTCAGGAAGCTAATACAGCTTCTTTTGTAAATGACCTTACCAAAAATGTGTCCATGGCGCTCTCTACACAGCGGGACATTGACTACAAGTTGGAAACAAAGTTAAATGCTCTGGAAGAAATTGTTATTGCTATTGGCGATGAGGTTCAACTCCTCAAACAACAACTGTCTACTCGATGCCATGCTCAGTTTCGTTTCATTTGCGTTACGCCTCTGCATTATAACTCTTCCTTACATTGGAATCTTACCAAACATCACCTATTGGGTATCTGGTGTAACAATGACCTTTCTCATGACCTCTCGTCTCTCCAATCTGAAATTTCTACTGTCAGTAAATCTCATCTGGATACTTCAGTCTCTTCCTTTGCCCATTCTCTAGCTTCTACTCTCCAATCTTTGACTCCTACTCACTGGTATCATCTTGTTCTTTCCTTCATTGCTCTTTCCCTACTTGTCCTTCTCCTTTGTCTTTTAACTCCCCTCCGTGTCCGCTCACTTCACAGGTCGATCTACCGCCTTCAACGTGACATGTATGCCTACCAACTCCGTTTTAAAAAAAACAAAGGAGGACCTGCTGCACCTCCCCCTGCAGTGACCCTTAGGGCTAATGGCTTGCGCCACGGTCCCTAGGTCCGGCTGGGCAACCAGCGCGCAGGCGGAGAACAGCAAAACCCCCTGAAGATATACTTGCTGCACCTCCTCCTGCAGTGACCTCTAGGAATCCCTAGGTCCGGCTGGGCAACCAGCGCGCAGGAGGAGAACAGCAAAAAACCGCCTGAAGACATAGATAAGACGGAAACCTGTTGAAAGATAACGACCACCAGAAGCCACTACAGGAATGCTGTTCGCTGGGAAACTTATCTCACCTTCTCTAGACCCACAAACTTTATTCTAATACAACTGTCTCTCTAAAATCTTTTCTCTTTCTCTGTTTAAAAGGTCATTGGTTTGCCGATTAAAAAAGAACATACGAAATCTAATAACTAGGCTGATTCAAATAAAACGTTACTAAACTCTGTGTATTAATTGAACTGCTAGCTTAATAATTTCTCTGTTGTATACTTAGCCTAGTTTGTATTAATCTAAATGATAAAAATATTACATTGTGAAAAGTAAAATTCACCTGTGTTAATTAATAGTAATAGTGAGTAGTTAAAACAAAAAGTAATCATATAAAACAAAAAGAAAAATTAATAGCCTAACTACTTAGGAATGCGCCTGGGTCCAGATGTAAATCACTGCCCTGTCAATGATAAGCTAAACCTATAAGCAAGCTGATTTCTTCACTGATGTTCGCCATTCCTATGCCTTTAGAAAACATATATATACTGGTCACCAACTCAAATAAAATTACACTCAGATTTTCACTCTTGAAGTGTGTCTGATTGTCATTTCTTTAACCGAATCCCTGACCACCCTGCGCAGTCTCTCAACCCTGAGACAGCCTCATCGCTCACTGCTGTGCTGGTCCGCGGCAAATTCTCTAACAATGCTATACAATAGATAACATTTTCTCCCTTTTAAAGAAGGAAACTGAGGCACATGGAGGTTAAGTAACTCACCCAAGATTACAGAGTCAGTAAGTGGCACAGCTGGGGTGGAGGAAGTCTGCCCTGCTCTTGACCCCTAGGCCAAACTGCCTCTCCCTTCAGGGTGCTAATGATACCATCCATCAGGATATCCAAGGCAGAAATAGGGGACCCATCCGTGATTCCCCCACTCCCCTCACTGGCAATGCATCACCAAACCCCAGCAATATTACAGCTCAAATATCCCTTAAATCCAGACTGATTCACCCACAAACTGCTCCACTATGTGTCCCTAGTGCCCAGCAAGAACCCAGTAACTGGTCTCTCTGCCTCCACTCTTGTCTTCCTGAAATCCATTCTCCATCCCACCTCCAAGAAGTGTCCAAAGGCAAATGTGTAGTGACCCCAGATTGAGCTCTGACCAACCAGCTGTGAGCTCTTGGGCAAATTCTGATTCCTCTTTAAAAAAAAAAAATGTATTCCAAGTGAAGCATTATTTTAAAAGAGTAGAAGAAATCACATAGGGAATGTGACCAGCATAACAATGAAAAGAGTAAAGCACTGTGATGCTGGAAACCCCCTGCATATAAAACACAGCAGGAAGATCTAGACTGATCTGTGTTACTTTCACATACTTGAGAATCTTCTCCATCTGCTGAAAGAAACTTTTGGAGGATGATTTTGAACGTGGAATGCTTGTAAACGATATTCTAAGACTAAGAGATAACTAGGAAAATTATTGAACAACCACACAGAAGTCCAGTGAGTAGTCACAAAATGTTTAGAAAGCTGACTCCAAAAACAAATGATCCAAATATGGCATTCTGATATATATGAAGAAAGGAAGGATATCTCTGAAAACTTGCGCCAACTGTCAAATCTCATTTATCCATTATTTTGTTCAGAAAAGGATTTGAAGCAATCACGTCATACTGGAGAATAACTGGCGGGCATCTTCCTCATCCCCCCACACTCCTCCACCCCTGTTAACTTACCATGTTTGCATCAATGACCTGCCCTTTGCCAGAACGTGTGCGTTCGAAGAGAGCCAGCACGATGCCCAGGGCGCACATGAGTCCACCGCCACCAAAGTCAGCCAAGAGATTCACTGGGGCACAGGGATTCTCACCACTTCTGCCAAGTCTGGACAGTACTCCTACACCAGTAAAAAAAAAAATTGGGGAGCACAAACTGTAAATTTAAACTCTCTTTTAAACAAATATATGAATATCTTAGAGAAATAACCAACCTCTCTAGTTGCTGACATTAAGTGAAAACTAGCACATCAACCTAAATGCATTCAGCATATTTATAAACAGGCTTTCCCACCAGCAAGGGACTTAGTTTTTTGTCTTTTAGGTCTCTAAAACTTTATATCAACTAATATTTTCAGAATTTTACTGCTAAGTTTTTACTCAAGGAGTTTTGGGGGAAATAATTGTTGCCAATTAAATTTATGCCTTAACCACAGTATGGTGGACTTCCATTCTTTTTTTCAGAGATGCAAGAAAATATACACACCAACAAGAAAAGGATTACACTTTAAAATAGATATGAAAAATCAATTCTACACTCATTCTTTATCTCAACCCCTAAATGTGTCCTCATAGGAAATTCTGAGACTTTATTTACTCAACAACACATTGCTCTCAGAACTCAAGATTTAGGCCATTCCAGGACATATTCACAGGGAACATTTTTAATAAAGTGATATTACCATGGGCTTTTTCTAGTATTCACAGACATCTAAAAGGTGACTCAGATGATTTTCAATATAGTTTGGGGGAGAGGGGTGTCAAAATCAGACTCATATCAGAATTTTCACAACATGGAGAAACCATTCCTACTACCCCTAAGTCTCCTACTTCCTAGCAAGGGGTTGCCTGAGAGTTGAGTCCACGGCTGTAGTAAGTAAATGTTCCTTGTGAGAGTATATTATCCCTCAAGTGTGAAGATATAAGAAAAGGTTGAAAATGTTCCAAGACAAACTAACCCTTTTAAAACAACTATGTTCTTCCTTATTGATTCTTACATTTCACCTGTATTGATACTTACATTTTTACCTGTAAACATACTTTTTAATAAGGGTAACTGCAGAACTTGACTGCAAACAAATAAAAAGTGTAGAGAAATTTTTTTTTCCCTAACATACCTGACAAAGCCAAATAGTTGATGTCATGGCCTGCTCTCTCAGCGAATTTTCCTGATTGCCCAAATCCACTCAGCCTGGCATAGATAAGTTTTGGATTTTCCTTGTGCAGAACCTCTGGGCCAAGCTGCAGTTTTTCCATGACACCTCAAGAGAAAGGTCACCACGTTTTCTATGAGAACATGAATCAAGGATGGGTATAATCCTTCCTCTGTGGCACATATGAAACAGACCTCTTGCAAGTAATAGTGATAACATTTAACTCTAGTAATACTTGACACTTATAGATTGCTTCTAGTAACTAAGGACCCAAAGAGTGAGATGACCATTTTTGGGATGTGTGGCTTCTGCCCCAGGGTGCTACTACTTCCTTCTAGAACTTCCCTATTTCCCTTTAGGCATATCCACATTTCTTCAATACTCACAGTGGACATTTCATCCATTTAGCCAGACCCTTTACAATTTCCTGAATCTTCTCACTAGTAATTTGTTAAAAGTTGGAAGTTACCCTAGATCTTTTCTTGGTTTAAAAACTTCCTTTTGAAAGCTGCTATTCTTTTAAGGATCTTTTCTTTTTCAATGCCACATCAGTGCCTACCACCTTCTGCCTCAAGCTGTACCTATGTCTGTATATGATCCCTTACCAGCTCAGAAAATCCTCCCACAGGACTCCCCTGATCTATTCTCACAGGCCTCTACAGTGCCTAGCATTAGTACCTTCAAAAAAGGCTCAAAAAAAAAAAAAAAAAAAAAGGTTCAATATGAAAAGAAAGGTTAGTTACAAGAGCATCTGAGAGCTCTTAAATTATCAAGCACAGTATTTATTGCATAAAATCCAGGTAACAGGCAAAGTCCCCGGGGATTAAAGCAATAATGACTACATAATACTGTCTCTGTTGTGCCAAAGCTATCTTAAATTGCAAAAGAACTTATAGTTATTTAAGGAAACACCACCCACAATCCTCTCACCTGGAGGTTACAAACTTATTCATAGCTTCACCTTTCCCCTTATTGCAATACCTAGGACAAATTACTCAACCATGTTGAAACTACTTCATCTTCAAATGGCATTATTGAATTATGATATCTTATTTACTAAATTACTATAATTATAATCCTCAAATCTGGCTATATGGGTGAATTATTGGTTTTAAATGTCTGGGATTCAATCAACAAACATTTACAACATATAGCTATATAACCAGAAAAGCTTTGTTTGTATTGACTGAGCAAGATTACTTCTGGCAGCTGTCGGAGAAAGGATCAGAGTAGTGCTAGATGCAAACATCAGCTTTAAAAGGACTGTCAAAGAAGCTGCAGCAAGTACAGAGAGAAAGAACCCTGGGCCACAGGAAGGAAGAATGAATGAACTGGTGGTCACTGCAGTCACGGGTGAAGCACAAGTTTCTGAAGCCAGCAACTGGGTTCTATTCACTGTGACTAGTAACAGAAAATAAAGAGATGCCATTTCAGGAGAGAAGATGATGGGCTTGGTTTGCGATTTCTGAAATTTGCAGCGCCTGGGGGACAGCCAGCCCATTGGAAATGTTCAGGACCTGAGTATGCCAGAGGTTTGCGGCTCTGTAAGAGTGGGGGTACAGTTACAGGTCTGAGTATCCTGTCTATAAAATGATGAGAACAGGGCCTCCCTGGTGGTGCTAGGGGTTAAGCACCACACTATGAAGCAATCCGCAGCCCCTGCAGCACAAATTCGATCCCCGGCCGGCCAGGGAGCTACCCACACGGCGCAGCAGACCTCTCCTGTCTCCCCCACTGCTTCCCTCAGCAGTGTACTTTGGTCATCTGCCTGTTCCATTCCCTCCTCTGTCTCTGGTGAGTCCTCTCACCCCCTGCATCTCTTGCCTGCACCCCATCTCTTGTATGCATAAATAAACCTTTAAAAAAATAAAATGATGAGAACAAGGGGAATGCACAGGTGTTTCAGGAGCAGAGGGTAAAGTAAAAGAAACTGAGCCGAAGCTGGAGCTTGGGCACCAGCATTTAAGGCCAGGTTGTTGTCCTGCACCAGGGGGTGGCATTAGAGGGTAACCGTCCCCCCAAACGGTAGCAAAATGTGCTCTAAGCCGTCTCCCTGGCAGCGAATAGCAGGCTTTTCAGTCTCACAGGGCTGATGACCCTCAAGTAACTAAGAAAGGCAAATAAAAACACGTGGGCCATTACAAAAAAGTGGGAGAGGCGCAGCCCCAGCGGCGCCCCATGCAGAGGCGGGGAACCCCCTGCAGCGGGAAAGACGCGTCTGGCACCACGGGGGCTGGAGGGCCGCGCCGGGCAGCCGCCCTGGGGCACAGCGCACCCCGCCGCGGGCTCGGCCTGGGCGCCCCCCGGCCCGCGGCGCCCCTCACCGCGGCGGAAGGGCTCGAGCACCACGTCGGCGCGCGCGCACAGACGCCGCACCACGGCCGCGCCGCGCGGGCGCTTCAGGTCCACCGCCAGCGACCGCTTGCCCCGGCCCAGGCGGCTCACGTCGCCGGCGGAGCCCGGCCGGTCCACTCGCACCACCTGCGCCCCGAAGTCCGCCAGGACCATGCCGCAGAACGGGCCGGGGGCCAGGCCGGCCAGCTCCACCACAGAGACGCCCCGCAGCGCCATGGCCGCGGCCCCGGCCCAGGAGGAGGTGACCCCGCAGGCCGCGCCTCGACCCCGGCCCCGGGCGCCGCGCTTAAGGGCCTTCTCGTGCGCCTGCGCGAGGGGCGGGGCCTTGCGCGAGGGGCGGGGCCGGCGACGCGGGGGCGGGGCTTGGCCCCCGGCGCCCTCCCCCGGGTCCAGGGCGCCCGCAGCGCTGTGACCTACCGTGGCCTCCTGCTGCCGAGTCCTGAGCTGTGTTCCGGGCTTGACCTTGGGAGCTGGGCCTGGCCCTGTCTCCTCAGGACGCTGGTACGCACACCGTGGTGCCGTGTGAGCCCCTATGGCTGCCCAGCCCTGAAGTTATGAGGACCTTAAAACCTTAGGAATGGGGCCTCCCTGGTGGCGCAAGGGGTTAAGCATCGCACTGTGAAGCGATCCACAGCCTCAGCAGCACGAGTTTGATCCCCGGCCAGCCAGGGAGCAGCCCACATGGCTCGGCAGACCTCTCCTGTCTCCCCTACTGCTCCCCTCAACACTGCAATTCAGTCTGTTCTGCTCCCCACTCTGTCTCTGGAGACTCCTCTCACCCCCCACACCTCTGGCCTGTACCCCAGTTTTTGTATGCATAAATAAATAAATCTTTATAAAAATAAAAATTCAAGCTACACTAAGGAAACAATTTTTATAGTGGATGGGCTTTGGAGGGAGAGTCAAAACCAAGTGAGACAACTTTAAAAATATTTTTGAGGCAGATCTTGTCCAGTTAGACTGCCCAGCTGTGGCTGTGCAGGCATCTCTTTTCTTTCTTTCTCTTTTTCCTTAATAAACTTGCCGTATGCTGCTGAAAGAAAAATGATTTTGATTTGTCACCTGTCATTTCTACAGATAACTAACATTTCAGATTTTTTACTCTGATGCATAATATTTTTTAAAATACAATAAAATTTAAAAATCACAGATAGTTGTACTATTTTCAAAAATTGTTTTCTTCTTAGTCTGACCTGTGTGTAAGTGGCCTGACGTAATCTCTGACATTTCTAGGAACCTATAGCGCCAGAAGTAGGTGACGTTATCTCTGCCCTTTACCCTACCTTTCAAGATGCCAGTATGTCCATCATTTTGATCCACAGTCCATTGTATCTCCCAATTGCTATAGCTATTCAATTTTTATAATATACTTCGCCTAGACAAAATATACAATTACTTCATGGTTTTAATTTATATAAATGATACTACATTTCACTTTACCAAATTTGCTTTTTCACTCTAGTGTCAACTAGTCTCTCCATTTCTGCTCCTTCTTCTTTGATCAGTTGGAATTCTTGGCTTAAATACAAAAGAATTCACTGAAAGAATGTTAGCATACATGATTGCCTGAGAAAGCTGAATTCAAGCATTTGGCAGGATGTGGAAAAGTCTAGAATGCTGGAGTCACATTAAAGTCACAGCCTGGAAATCAGGTTAGGATACAAATCTGGTTAGAGTTTCCACTCACCTTTGACCAGATTACACCATCCTAAGCCTGAATCAGAAGTATACGGATGCTAACTTGTAGGACTTCCCAACCAACGTTAAGTTGGGGCCATTATATTGGAATTCTGACTGTAATGGATTGAAATGCTCCAAATGTTTTAAAAATCATGAATTAATAATAATGCTTTTAAAAAGACTTCATTAGTCACTTTTGGAGGTTACTAGGATACCAACCCATTGGAATAAAAATGGGTAAAATAAAAGTAAAAAAAAAAAAAATAGGCATTCATCTTACCTTCCACATGAACAACATCTTAGGATAACAAAATAGCTCTTAAAAGAATCTTGCTTTTAAAATGTCACTGGTTTTTGCAACTGTCGAGGAAATAATGTTTGTATGCTATAATTATCAGTCACTGCTAGAAACATTAAGGAAAAAGTCAAGGGAGTAACTTTATAATACACAGAGCTAGCTAAGATACCTTGAACCTACTGATCAGTTTTAATATCATAAAAAGAGACAATAGACCTTCTGGAGTTCCTGTTATGATGCAATAGACAATACCAACCATGAAGTTTTTCTGCAAAAAGATTGAACCTGAATCTAATTGAACACATTACTGTTTATTGTAAGTGCAGAGGAAGAGGAAGATGCCATTTATTTATCATTTGAAAAGTAAATAATAAATAAATGAACAAGTAACTAAGTCATTGATGATTTTAAAAGAAATATACCAATCAAATGTGATATATAAATCTTGTCTTGAATCATGATTTAAACAAGCATACTATAAAAGATAATTTTGAGGGCCTCCCCGGTGGTGCAGCGGTTGAGCTCTGGGTTGTGAAGCTGCCCGCAGCCTCTGCAGCTCAGGTTCGATCCCCGGCTGCTCCCCGGCACAGGAGGAGGGTCCCGCATGGTGCGCAGACCTCTCCTGCCGCCCGCTGCTCCCCTCAGCAGTGTACTTCGGTCCTTCTGCCTGCTCCGCTCCCTGCTCTGGCTCTGGTGAATTCTCTCACCCTCCCGCGCTTCTGACTGTACCCAGTGCTTGTATAAATACATAAAAATAAATCTTTAAAAAATTAAAAAATAAAAAAAGAAGATAATTTTGAAACAGTTGGGGATATTTTTAAGCACTGAATATTAGATGTTATGAAGGAATTTTTTTTTTGTGAAAATGTTATGGTTATAATTTTTTTTTAAAAAGATCCTCTCATTTCTTTGAAGAACTTACTCAGTGTTTACAAACCTTTTACTGATGAAGGAACTTCTAATATCTGGCCAATAGATTTTAGAATTTCATGGACCAGTAACTCCTTGGTACCTCTCATTTCTCCCTTTGTGATTAGGAATATCTATATTTGTATTGTTTCCCTGTTTTACCAGTTAAAAATAAAAAAATAGAAATTATATATGATTCAGTTATCCCACTTTTGGGTATTTACCTGAAAAATACAAAAACACTGTTTGAAGTGATATAAGCACCTCCATGTGTATTACCAAACTATGTTCAATAACCAAGAACTGGTAGTAACCAAAGAGCCCATCAACTGACTATTGGATAAAGAAGATGTGGTGTACATATATACATATATATGCACACACATACATACATATTGGAATACTACTAAGCTATGAAAAAAGATGAAATCCATGAAACACAAACTTTTGTACTATAACACCAATTAATGCTTATCTGAAGGGAAGCAGGAAGGGGAGGTAAATAAATTGGGGGAATTAGAACAATGAAAGATATATTTGGACTTTAAGCAGTAAACTTAATGTTGTACATACACATGTTGATTCTCAATGATGAACAACTGAAACTTATATAATGCAATGTTACTCTGATAAAAAATAGAAATAATATCCGTTTCTTAAAGACTCAGAGGGTTGGAGTTATAACAATGAAATAACTGAAAAGTGTCATTTTTTTATAGTCAAGAGATTCTGCTCTGTGCCTACGTCATCAATTGTAAGACCATTCACATAGCTGCATGAAAATATTTTAGCTTTGTGTTAGCAAACCACAGTGAATTACAATTGTATAGCTATTCAACTTTATTAAAAACATTATAAAACAGTCCATTTTACAAAGGTATTTCTATTTCCATATAATGTTTATTACATTTTCCTTGTCTCAGAGTTATCTAAAGCCAGGCCAATACCTTCCTCTAAGCCACTTTACTGGTAGTGTATGTTCTTTAGATCTGGAATCCACTTGGGCAACAAGGAATATTCAAATATCTCTTGACATTTCACTTATACAAAATATTTATGACATTGGGTAATAGTAAACCCCAACCCCACACACAACAACACGGTCCCTTGGGGGTAGGTGTGAGGGGAATATGCAAACCTCAAAAACTTTATGAGTCAAGTGAATTTGGGCTAATATCCATTTAAAACAGCATTGCATTGGATTCAAGAAGAGTCTTGAAATATTACATCAAAAGGAAAGTATCAAAGACTGAAGTGAGCATGGAGCACACTAAGTTAACTAGCAGGGCAGCTCTAATTCCCTCAGCTCCTAGCTGTAGGGGGTTATAGATACAAGTAAGCCCAAAGTTAAAGCTCTAGTTTCCTGTTCAAACCATAACAGAAAATAAAATAAGGCTCATTATTTCTAAAGGAATCAATTATATGTTATTTCTCAGAGAGGAGAAATGCCATTTAAATATTATCCAATATCAGGATAAACACATATTCCAATGATGCTTCTTTGCTTAAAATAAACCAATTTTTGGTACCATCGTCAAAACTTATAGCACATTCTCATGAATAGCATTTCAGTGGCAAATGTAATCCTTTAGGAATGATGTTTGGGGAGGAATAGGCAGAAGTCAATGGCACAGCTGCTCTGTGACTATTACCTAATCAAGGAAGTCATCATATTTTATTTTTTAAAAAGTTGAGATTTTCTTATGTCTCCAAAGTGGAATATTTATACTTTGTATCTCTCAGTTTGACTCTCTGTAACTGAGTTACAGCTCCCTTAACATGGCATGTCGGTGTATGTAAAGTTTATTAAGGGGATTTCTAAAGTGAGGGAAAAGGTGATTATACCTGTGCTACAGGCCGAAGTCTGTTATAATCTAAGAAGCATGATGGGAATGAGCCAATCTGATAAAGCCAGATATATCAATAAGCCCAATTCTGGATCATGAGAAAATTCTATTTCAAAAACTCCAAGTGATTAGAAATCAAGATTTAATAACAGTAGTATCCTTATAAAGAAGGTGGAGTCTTTTTTGTCAGCATTGTGAATACTTTTGCTATCTAAGAGTTAACATGAACCACTCACTAAAAACTATATATGCAGATATACTTTATTCATGAATATTGACCCACTGGATCAAAGTGTTGCTTCCTACTCTAGGTTCCATAAATGTTTCTGATACCCAGGTCCTAGCAAGTGCCTGTTCTTGCCCTGGCCCCATCAAAATCACTGCATCCTATTCTCTGAAATGGTATCAAGAATGATGACCCCCAAACTTCAGAGGTTCCTAAAAGATGCTATTAGAGACAGAGCAGCTAAAACTCTTTGCAAATGATTTCTCTGTTGGGAACCTGTGTGAAGAGGGGTGCTCTCTTTTTAGGGAAAAAGTGATAGAAGCGCTGAGTGTATTTGTTATGGTCACGTGAGAAGATGGTTTTGTGGTTTATTCTTCGGAGCCCCTGAGTCATCTCGTATCACTGGTGCACCTGCAACATGGCTAGCAATGTAACAATAAAATTTAAAATTTTTTTTACATATAACATGCCGGACCTTCAACTCTAATGTCCCTCACATAAAGATACCAGCTCAGATACAAGTCTCCCCTGAAGGGGAGCTCATCTATTCACATGTTTACTTCGTTTCAAAGAGCAGGAACCCCGCGAAGGTGGAGAAGCGCTGGTGGTCCCCATGAAGAGCGCCATTGCCCATTCTTAGCCAAACCTCATCCCCTTTGGCCAGCTTCAGCACTGCATGGTTGCTGGATGTATCTGATTTCCCTTTGCTTTCATAGCTGGAAAATAAAAAGGCATCAAGTATTTAGTGTTTGCAGAGGACAGTAGGTCTTTACCAAAATCAGCTCTCCCCTTCTTTCCCAGTTTTCTAGCAGGTAGAGTTGCTTTCACCAGGCTGCATCCCTCAAAAAACCAGGTGGATGGGGCCTCCCTGGTGGCCCAAGGGGTTAAGACGCAACCTATGAAGCTGTCCGCAGCCTCTGCAGCATGAGTTCGATTCCTGGCCAGGGAGGAGACCCACATGGTGCAGCAGACCTCTCCTGTCTCGCCCACTGCTCCTCTCAGCAGTGTGTTTCAGTTAGTCTGCCTATTCTGTTCCCCACTCCGTCTCTGGTAGATCCTCCCACTCCCCACGCCTCTGGCCTATACCCCAGGTCTTGAATGCATAAATAAATCTTAAAAAAGAAAAACAAAAACAGGTGGATGACGCCCCTTCCAATCTTCATACAATTCTGCCACCTTGTCCTTTTCCTTGAACAGGTCAAAGATTCTGATCTGCCCAGCCACTGTGTTCTAGATTTCTTTGTGGCGGCAGCTCCACCTACCTAACTCACCTATTTCTCTTTACCATTTCAAGGAGCCCAGGGCCAGTTTGTTAAGGTAACTATAACCATGTAGTTGTTGAACCTACTCCCACCTCCCAATCTGCCAGCCCATGGGAACGATAGAGGGGGCCTTCACCAATGCTCACCACTGGGCAAAGGGGGAAGAAGTCACAGTAGAAGGTGATGGGAAGAAATGATTAAGAATAGAATACAGGGGCCTCCCTGGTGGTGCAAGGGGTTAAGCATTGCACTATGAAGCAATCTACAGCCTCTGCAGCACAAGTTCAACCCTGCCATGGAGAAGCAGACCTCTCTGTCTTGCCCACTGCTCTCAGTCAGCTTGCCTGTTCTGTTCCCTGCTCTGTTTCTGGTGAATTCTGTCACCCCCACCCCCATCTTTGGCCTGTGCCCCAGCTCTTGTATGCATAAATAAATATTAAAAAAAAAGAACAGAATACAAATGATGAGTTATAGGGAATATTGCTAGTATTTTCTCAAGGCTTCTTACCAACCCGCTAATGTTCAAGTTCATCAGGTTTATTTCTTCTCAAATAGCTATAACCTCAACACATATAGGTGCATAGGAGTGCTCAGTGAGAGCAAAGTCCACGCAGGGCTCTGTCCCTTCCTACACACTTCCCTGGCATTGGCCGTCCTTTGAGCCAACAATGGCAGGCGGACGCTACCTGTGATAGAAGAGACCACCCACCTATACATGCTGAAGACTGTGTTGCCATTGTGCATGAGGTACACGTAGACTTCCTCCACATCCTCGTGCTTCATCATGCTGAAGGTGAAGAAATACACCCCTGGAAAAGGCAGGCATTTACCCATGTTTATGCAACATAGTGTACACTGAGAACTGGCAGTAACATCACATGACATGACGCTTCTTTTGTTGGTCACCTAGGTGGTATGTAGTTTCTTCTTGGTCTTTATTTGTGTGAGTGTCCTTTTATCATCTCTCACCTTCAAGCTGCTTTACATTTTTTTGACTTTCTCAGTGTGTATGCTGTGTATTCCTAAAGAAGTTGCAAGGCCTCATTTTGGCTATATCTCAGTGCCTCCCCTTGTCCTGATACAGTACCAATGGCAAAGTACATGCTGTTCCCTGTGTAGATGAACTATCATCAGCACCTGCCATGGGACTTGTATTAACAAGGTACAAAGCCATACATGGCCAAGCACATATCCCTCCTGTCCAAACAGAATAAGTCACACAAAAAGATTATTAGAGATAAGCACACTTGCCCCGCAGAGGGTAGTCAAAGATATGGAGGAGCTGATACACAGGATAAATGTCTATCAGTTCCAAAGAAATGTAGTATCCTCCTACATTGTTCACGTAAGATGGTGACATTTATAAACAAAAGCCACAAAGATTCAACTATGCCTGTGTTCCTAAAAATCTAACCTTCTCATTTGAAAATGACCAACATATTTTTTTAAAATGTGAGTCTTCAGGGCCTCCCCGGTGGCGCAGCGGTTGAGCGCTGGGTTGCGAGGCTGCCCGCGGCCTCTGCGGCGCCGGTTCAATCCCCGGCTGCTCCCCGGCTGCTCCCCGGCTGCTCCCCGGCTGCTCCCCGGCCACCGGAGGAGGATCCCACATGGTGCGCAGACCTCTCCTGCCACCCGCTGCTCCCCTCAGCAGTGTACTTCGGTCCTTCTGCCTGCTCTGCTCTCCACTCTGGCTCTGGTGAATTCTCTCACCCTCCCGCGCTTCTGACTGTACCCAGTGCATGTATAAACAAACAAACAAACAAACAAATAAATAAATAAATAAATAAATAATAAAAAAAAAAGAAAAAAAAAAAATAAAATGTGAGTCTTCTTCAAGGTTCTGCAAGCTCCTAATGTTAAACAATTTAATGTGACCTGATACAGTGCAAGATATATCTTCATTGAATGATTAAGAAGAATCTGATAGACTATGGTGGTGGGATATGGGTGGCTTGGTGGTGGCTACACTATGGTGGTGATAGATTAGGGTACCTGGTGGGTAACTCAAAATAAATAATATTTATTTAGAATATTGCCTCAATTAGAAATAAATAGTGAAACAGTAGAGAGATGAACAAAAAAGGAAAATCTTCCCAAATTTAGATAACTTGGAGTTCAGAGTGCATTTTGGAAAGATGAATGAATGAACGCCAGTCATACAGCTCTTGTTAATGTCCATGTTACATCTGGAAAGTTATGACCTTGTCTTAGTCTGTGCCAGCTGCTATAAAAAATACCACAGACCGGATAGCTGATAAACAACAGAAATGCATTTCTCACAGCTCTGGAGGCTGGAAGTCTGAGGCCAGGGTGCCAGCATGCTCTGTGAGGACCCTGGAATGGTTTCAGAGTTTTTATAATCTCACTTGGCAGAAAGGACTAGGGGTCTCCTGGGGTCTTTTTTATAGGGTCACCAACCCCATTTCTGAGTACTCTACTCTCATGGGCTAATCAGTTCCTGAAGGCTCCACTTCCTTAAATACTTTGCATATTAAGTTTTGATATATGAATTTTATTGAAGCAGAAATATCAACACTCAGACCATAATAAGCCTGATAAGAAAAAAAAAATGCCAGAAACATCTAAAAATAATAAAGCAGTGTGCAGCTCTATGCTCTTTGCCAAAGGGGCAATCAGGAAGATAGTAACAGTGTTCAGAGCATGTCGTGTTTATCCATCTGTTTCTTAGTCAAGTCAAATCAAATAAGGAAGTATGATATGTCGTATTTAGTGCCACACATGCATACTCAATGTGCTGGGAATAAAGGAAATGGTATAAAATCATCTTGCCCATTCAAATGCCTAGAGAATGGCTCACAGATGGAAAGTAAAGGCAGAGAAAAAAAGAAAATTTAGGGCAAAAGGCAGCTCTCCCACCCACTGGAGACGACACAGGTGCCTCTCTTTTTCTTTCTCCTTTTCTTAACAAACCTGTCTTTTTAGAATGTAAAAAAGGAGAATTTAAAGAAGTAGTTTAAATGTATTCACTTCTTTACATTTACAAAAATTCAAAGTTTTTTAAATGACAATTTCAAAGCCTCAAAGAGATAAAGCTCCAGTCAAAAAATGACATGCTGAGATAGTCAGTGGTGAATGAATGAAACACTAGAGGTAGAAATGGAAATGCAGGAGTAAATGCAACCTATAGTCACGCCTGCCTCTCTTCTGCAAGGGAGGTACTAAAAACAGGCAACAAACTTAAACAAAAGACCTGTTTCCAGATCTTGCTGTTGACATGATTGCAAAAATCAGCCTTCTCTGTCTTAGCACAACCAAGCCAAAAAGTATGAAATGCTTACTTTGAAATCTACCAGATGAGGTATAAGCATGAAAGTGGAAATGAATTGTTATCATCAGAATGATGTCCAACCTAAGAAAGTTCATAAAAGCTGCTACATCTCTGAGTTCCTGATATACAGCTATTGAAAGGGAACCATCAACTGGGCATTTCTAGGTCCAATAGTGTGTGACAAACTACTTCTAGGGAAATTATAACAGAAAGCTTCAAAACAGAAAATTACATAAGAGTGCTTGCCGCTGATGGAGGTGTGATGAAAGATTGCTTCTATCATTTTATACATGTCAGTTCAATTCTGACTTTAGCTGGGCAGAAAAATAAATCAAGACACCCATTAAAAGCTTTTCCAATTTGAACATGGCCACTATATATTGGAACTTTCTTCCTTTTCCTTCTGGATACCACATAGAGAAACAAGGAGACCTGAACACAAATACCCAGAGCATTCATTTCCTGAAAAATTAGGGCACTGAAAAAAAAAATCAATAAAGTTAAAATAAGTCTAAGAGCCGTCAAAGGTAACTGAGAGCAGGCAGAGTTGAGCAGAAGCTATGTGGGGCCTCTGAAGCCCAAATGGCAGCAGATTATGAGCAGCGCCTGAAAAATACACTGGTGAGAAGGGCCACTGTCAAGTACAGATGCTGAAAAGAATCTCCTATGAGCAAGGCTAGGCGGTGCAAAAGTGAAGTCTTGGGAAGAAGTACAGAGATGAGGAAAGTGGTGCTGCAGTGGCAGAGCTCAGAATATGCCAGCTAGGGCCTCCCTGGTGGCGCAGCGGTTGAGCGCTGGGTTGCGAAGCTGCCCGCGGCCTCTGCGGCGCCGGTTCGATCCCCGGCTGCTCCCCGGCCACCAGAGGAGGGTCCCACATGGCGCGCAGACCTCTCCTGCCGCCCGCTGCTCCCCTCAGCAGTGTACTTCGGTCCTTCTGCCTGCTCTGCTCCCTGCTCTGGCTCTGGTGAATTCTCTCACCCTCCCGCGCTTCTGACTGTGCCCAGTGCATGTATAAACAGAACAAACAAACAAACAAACAAACAAACAAACAAATAAATAAATAAATAAATAAAAACATGCCTCTATGAGAAAAAAAATAGAATATGCCAGCTAAAAACAAAGACTCCTAAAGTCAAGGGAAGTAACAAGTGCAAGTGGATTTCAGAAGTCTTCCTGAACCCGCTGCAGCCCAGGGAGGCTGTGAGAGGGAACTTGCTGAAGGTCCAGGCTTAAATGAATCTGTAAGTCACCTGGAAGCAGGGGAGGGCGCCATTGAGTTATCAAGCCTGGAATCTACTGGGGTCCCTCCTCCTTCCAGAGAAACTACTCTGGATGGCTAGCTGGTCTCGCAAAATCTAACTCATCAAGCATCAGTTAATCTTTTTAAGTAGGAAAGAACAGCAAAATAGGTGAAGGATGTTAGCCAAGGAGAAATGTTGTCATGTAGTAGGTGAAAAATGGAACTAAATATTTCATCATGAATTTAAAATCTATCAAGGAAGGAAGTATGTCTAGAGAGAATGTTATAAAGCACAATGCAAGAACTCGGGTCAGTATGGTCAGACAAAAGGAGGAATTGAAAACTGGGATACCATGACTAATGGGAGACATAGAAAAAGTGTAAAAAGCATCACAGAAACAAGAAAGAAGCAAGTCACCCTCAGAGAATACACAATTAAGCACATGCAGGATAGAAAAGGAAGAATCAAATCACATGAAATGGAAAGAAAGAGCAGCAAAAATTAGAAAAAAATAAGAGATACAGAAGGCAAGAAGAAATTTAAAATAAACTGGAATTGGAGTCTTGGCAGAAATTAAGCAGTGGCACACTAAAGTCAGGTGGCGGGAACCAGGGTGCAGGGAGGGCAAGCTTCTATCACCTCTGTGGTGTTCTCAACATTTACAACACCAATCTCATCATGAGAAATTATCAGGCAAACATAAAATGAGAGATATTCTACAAAATGCACGGCCAGTACTTTTCAAGATTTTCAAAGTCATAAAAAGAAGGAAAGAAGTCTAAGGATCTGTCCCAGATTAGAGGGGATTAAGGAGAATGGACAACTAAATGTAATGTCAGCTCTTAAATTGGTTTTTGGGACAAGAAAAGCACTTAAGTGGAAACCCTGATAAATCTGAATAAAGTCAGTTCATTCATTCATTCAGAACCTTGTACCTAGGTTCATTTATTTATTTTAGTCATTGTACTTTGGTCATAAGGTGTTAGTGAACATTAGGGGAAGCTGGTTAAAAGGAATATGAGAATTTTATAGTATTTTTGTAACTCACCTATAAGTTTTGAAGTATTTCAAATCAAAAAAGGTTGTTTAAAAAAAAATAGAATTTTTTAAATCTATCAAATGTCCAGATATTTGAAAACACGGTTTGCTGATGAGACTATCAAGAGGTCAGTAATTTCATATCTTATTAATAGAAGTTTATTGGCACAACCCTCACAGAGAGCCACTTAGCAAAATTTTCATCAAAAACACACGATATGTTTACTCTTTCAGCCAGCAATCCTATTCCTGATCTATTAGCCTACAGACACAACTGAAAGTGCTCCATTACAAATAATATATCCAAACCTGGAAACAACTCACATGTTTAGCAATTAGGGATCAAATACACTTTGGTAGATTTAGTTATATAAAAAAAAGAATAAAGCAATGATGTGCAAGATCTCTGACATATAATGTTAGTCTTAAAACAAGCAAAGGTACAGTCAGAATGTGGCGTAAGCTAGTTTTTATGTAAAAACAAGTAAAGTACTTTGAAAATATTTGCAGAAAGAGTTTGACTTTTAAAATACATAAATCTATTATCTACCCAGTTTTGTTAATTAAAAATATAAAATCAGGTCCTCTTTGGTGGCAAACGGAGGACACAGTTAGGAAACATTTAAATTGTGAGGATTATGTTCCAAGGACTTTGAAAGTCAGAGGTATCTATGCCCTCTTTAGGATTATTTGGTTCACTTCAAATCAGAGCTAATAATCTTAGCAACCATAGTGGTGATTTTTAAAAGTGTTTGTGCCCTTTCAGTTCTTAGTCATTTTCTTTGAAATCCAATAGAAACCTGTGTATGAACTGGTCTTTTAATCAGAATCAGAATTCTTAACTCTTAGTGGCTACCTTTCTTTATTTTCTCCCCTTTCATATTTTCTCCATCCTTCCTCCCTTGCTCTTTCTTACCTTTATTCTTTCCTCTCTTTCTAGATTGCTAGATTGATTCATTCAGTTCCTTTATTTTTACATCTCACCTGATACCGGAGCCCCAAATCTACCAGTCATGACATCAAAGAAGTTTCCAATATTGGTCTCAACACTGCTGAAGATGATCCCACTGTTCTGATTGCTGAAGTGAGTAGCCAGTGATGCCATGAATGCAATCTAAGGAAAAGAGTTGGATGTTAATTAATAAGCAATTTACCTTAAAGAGAGAAGGTTTTTACACAAGTGAGTTTATTTCAAATTGTTTGTGATAGCAGGATTGGAAATAAACATTAATCTATGGAGAAAGAATTAAATAAATCATGAAAGTCTCCCATGTTTGTACGCTATGTAGTTGATAAAATGATAACATATCAACAGTTCTGAACATGAATTCTAAGGAACACTAGACTTCAAAATTGTTTTTGAAATTTTAAAATTCTACTATCAATTAATGTTTGTAGAAATTGGATGGATTCTTCTGTTTCTAGCTATTAAAATCACTTTGGCACTTTATAGGATCTGAGAGGTCCAATAGCCAAAAAAACTTAAAATTTTGTTAACACTTATTTTTTCCCCAAAAAAGCCAAAACCCCGTGATATGGTATAACAAATATATATTTAGTCTTCATCCCTGGTTCTGGCACAAAGCTCCTTAGACAATTGCAATTTCCTAAGAGTTGCGGGTAGTCAAGATATCTTTTGTGATGTTAATGAGGTGACCTTGAGAAAGTTCTTAAGGTTGTGGACTGGTTTCCAGGAGACCCAAGCCTGTTAGAAGGTTGTAGTTTTCAGTTCTACTACCCCCACTTCTGGTAAAAGGGGGAGGGGTGGCTCAGGGCCAGAGATTGAGTCCAACTCCATTAGCCAGCGATTTAATCAATCACGCCTTGTAATGGAGTCTCCATAAAAGCCTAAAGGAACAGGGTTCAGAGAGCTCTGGGGTGGCGAATATAAGGGGATTCAGAAAGAGAAGCGTGCTCTAGAGAAGGCTTGCCAACTCTTGTGCCTTTTTCTTATTCTTTGTTCGATGCATCTCTTCCATCTGGCTGTTCTTGAGTTTAGTCTTTTATAATAAGCCAGTGATCCTGTATGTGAAATGTTTTTCTGAGTTCTGTGAGCCACTCCGGCAAATTAATAGAACTCAAGAAGGGAGTCATGGGAACTGAATTGTAGGACACCCAGGAGAATTGCTGGGTGTTGTAGGAAAAACCCAGGCATTGGAATTGGAATAGAAATTATAGCACCACTGGAAATTTGAAAGTCAACACCAACCCTGGATCCAAATGCGTCACTGGAACTGAGTGTGAATTAGAGCCACATATTCTTTAACTTGCTGGGATTGTCTGTTTTCAATGAATGAGCATTTTAAGGGAGAGGAGAAAGAGAGGCAAACAATCAAATAATTTAAAGTCCTAGAAGAGTTGATGGAAGGCAGGTTTTGGAGAATGCACATAGAAAGGTTATGGACCCTTCAGAAAGATGGCCCGAGGGCTCTAGCTAAGGAAGGATAGACAAAGGATGACATCAGAAAAAGGATTTTAAAATGGGAAAAGAGGGTTCCAAGGTAGCCTCCTTCACAACCTGGCCAAAGACCAGTCTTCCCTCCTCTGTATGTCTCCTTTAAAAATGTGAAAGGAATTCTCCCAAATGATTGCATTGTGGTTTTAGGGTAAAATATTTTCTAGGGCAAATTAATTAATTGCCCAGGGTATTCACCATTAAACCAGTTACTCCATGGACCCCGGCCATGGTATAATCATTCACAGGTTTTGGGGTAGAGTGTTTAGTTTTGAGAGTGTTGACTAGTTTACTAGACAGATACCTCTAACCTGACCAAGTGGCATCTGTCTCATTTTATTTGTTTTTGTTGTTTGGGGAAATTTATGTTAGCACAGTCATCCCGTTTTGCTAAAACAATTAAAGTTTATGTGAAACATTAATAAATTAAATAAAACCACCAAATGAGTTAGGAACTGTTAGTTTACACTGAGAAACCCAAGACCTATGAAAATGGTAAAATTTCTCCATGGTCAAACAGCTACCAAATCTGTTCAAATATAAGGCACATTTCCCCCTCTCTCCATTGATTCTTGAGATAAGAGTTGCTTTATATTCTAGTTCTTTAAGTCTCTCGTGCTATAGTTTATTCTCCCAATTACTTCATTTTAAAATACGTCACCATTTCAGGAAGACAAACCAATTGGAAACCACCTCAAAGAAAAATTCTTTTCAATGTTGAAAAGAGTCCTTGGAAGAATAAATTTTAAAATTATTATCCAAGAAAATAACCAAGACTTAATAATTTTCTTGGTGACCTAATCTCACATTTGCAAGTTTTAGATGTTGACAAGAATTTCAAAATCGCATAAAAAGAGAAATAAAGAAGAGATAAATGGGCACTTGCGTTTTATCTAAAAAAGCCCAGTTACAGCCTAATAAGTAGATTAAAAAAACTTTAAACTGAAATGAGTATGATCTGGTCTGGTATTCTATGCATGGTTGGCTTAAAAATAAGTTGTGTCTAGTGATTAAGGAAATAAAAAGTTTAAATGAATATTATACCACAAAATCTGAGTTGTCATAAAACAATGTTTGTATATTAATATCCACATATGTGATTTAATAAAATGAAACCACAAATGTGATTTAATAAAATATGTAAATATAATAAAATGAATAGTAAAGTATTATAAGTAGGCTTTCCCCATTCCATTTATATATTTGGAGTATAAGTATTCAAGTTGCTGAAAACTTTATTTAACATCTTTTCCTTCTCACTTGGGAGAAAGGAATTTGGGTTATATCTGAGGTCCCCTGATATCTGGTCTCATGAGAGCCCTGAATTTCACCCTTCATAAATTTCTCCTCTGCCAAAGAGTGATTTGAAAGCACTCTGAACAGAAAATTGAGACACAGGGGGATCCAACTGTGGTGAGGACTTGAAGAAGCACTCAAGCCTTTGATTCCTGGACACTGATGCTGAGGACAGTTCAGAAGTCACCTCAAGATGTGCTTGTTGGTGCAAAGGGTTAAGCACCGCACTTGAAGCTGTCCGCAGCCACTGCATGCGTTTGATCCCCGCCAGGGAGCTACCCACATGGCGAGGCAGACCTCTCCTGACTCACCCACTGCTCCCCTCAGCTGTGTATTTCAGTCAGTCTGCCTGTTCTGTTCCCCACTCTGTCTCTGGTGAATCCTCTCACCCTCCGCATCTCTGGCCTGTACCCCAGTTCTTGTATGCATAAATAAATACATCTTCAAAAAAAAACAAAATTTGTGCCAAGGACCTTTTACCTGCAGCTCTGGAGGAATCCCTGGGTGGCCCTTCTCTCCTTTGGGGCCATGCTGCCCCCGCTCCCCTCGTGGTCCCAGGTCACCTTTGTCTCCTTTCTCACCTTTGGCACCTTCATGGCCCGTGGCTCCATTATTACCATTATTCCCGTGGTTTCCTTAGACAATGAGACATTGTCACATATGAAAGACTTGTTTTCATATTCACCACCTATTTTTGTATAATATAACCTTTGTCTTCAAAAATATACAAACTCAACTGGAAAGGGGGGCCACCTGTAACAACCCCAAATACAGCCCTGGGGCCATCTCACATGGAATCTCTTTTCAACGGACACAGAAGGCTCCAAAGTCTGTTTTTCTCAAAAAGCAAAACTTGCATGAAAAATTGTATTGGGGCCTCCCTGGTGGCTCAAGCAGTTAAAATGCAACTTATGAAGCAATCCGCAGCCTCTGCAGCACAAGTTCGATCCTCGGCAGGCCAGAGAGCAACCCACATGGTGAGGCAGACCTCTCCTGACTTGCCCGCTGCTCCCCTCAGCAGTGTATTTCAGTCAGTCTGCCTGTTTTGCTCCCCACTCTGTCTCTGGTGAATTCTCTCTCCCCCCCACACCTCTGGCCTGTACCCCCGCTCTTGTATGCATAAATAAATAAATCTTTAAAAAAAATTGTGTAGAAGACTAACTATCAAAGTGCCATTTAGAATGGCAAAGGTCCAAAAACACTTACTTGTCTACTAGTACTGAAAGGGTTAAGTAAAACAATGGTCATCCTAGTAAATGATGGTTAGAGTCAAGACAAAGAAATGCTGAAGGAAAATATTTAATAGCACTTACTGATAGTCGTGATATTTTTACATCAAAATGTTATGAATCAATAGGGATAGCATATACTTTTTTTTTTTTTTTTTTAGCATAGAAGAACTGGGATGTAGGCCAGTGGTGCAGGAGGTGAGAGACTCCACCAGAGACAGAGTAGGGAGCAAAACAGGCAGATCTACTGAAATTCACTGCTAAGAGGGGCAGCAGGTAAGACAGGAGAGGTCTGCTACGCCATATGGGTCACCTACCAAGCTGGGGATCAAACTCAAGCCATAGGGTGATAGGGCTGAGACTTTACCCCTAGGCCACCAGGGAGACCCAGGACATACTCTTTTTGTTTAGAAATACATGCAATCTCCAAAGGAGATTTCCAAAGAAATACATGCAAATTAGAAAAATTCCATAAAAATCTTCATGATTTTTTCTGAAAGGATAAAATGAGTGATATTTGTGCCATTGTATATTATATACTTTTCTGTCTTTTTAATGTTTTCTACAAAAGACAGGCATCACTTTTACAACTGAGGGACACATTATAACAAATTTGAAAGCAATGCTTAGATGATGATTTGAACTTTTTGCCACTAGCACATTATTTCTATGCTTCTTCTTTTATTTTTCTATTTGTTGAATTGTGGGCCCTTTTGCTGTTTATTTTGCATGCTACCCTTGGGAAGGACATCACACCAGGCTTACAGTCTTTCCCAATGGATGAACTTTGACCGAGTCTTCAGGGTAATGTGGCAATAACAAAGCTGTTGTGTAAGCTCAGAAGATTTAGACTTAAGACTTTAGGAGAGAGTCTGACCATCCCCTCCCCCTAACCACTGTGCCTGTGGTCTGCGGCCTTTGATCTGCAGTGGCATAATTCCAAGCCAGTAATCATAGTTAAAAGTCTATTTGAGCATTTTCACACTTTAATTCACATGTCACACTTTTACATTTGATTTTGCTTGAGAAACCACTCAAAAGTATAAAAAAAATTAAATCTCCTTTGATAAATATTAACATTAATCATGGTAAATCAGAAACAAGCAAGTGACCTTTTGCCAAACCCTGAGAAACGGTCCTATCCCCAGAATTGACAAGGGGAGGAGAAAGACACTTAAACCCCCCAGAAAGCTTTGCTAGTCCCAGCATGGAGGGGACTTGGACTGCCTTTTCCCTGGCTGACCTTGGATTAGCAAGTTTCCAGAAGTCTCCAAATGTGGGATACACTCAATAGAGTAGGTATGACTCAACCGTGGGTCTAGAGGAACCCACTGGAAACTTACAGCACTCCCCACGCCACCATGTGGGGCTGCAGCCCAAGTGTTCCCATGAGCCTGAGGGCAGCATGATTGTTAACTGAGAGACGCTGAACTTGGAGAGACCCTAAAGCTAGGGGGAGAAAACTTAGCTGGACATAGAATCAGGCAGAAGGATGTGACGCTCAGAGCTTGGCTCCATGGAGATGATTATAAGTCAGAACAGCAAGCTCTCCTTTCTACTCCACCATTACTTCACAAACCCCCTGCAAGTTAGAAATAGTCTACTGGAGGACACATGTGGTGGCAACAACACCGAAAAGAGAACTTATCCTGACTAAGATCCTGTCGTTCCAGACTCCATGTTGGTGAAGAGCCCCACCCTGTGAATCTGGAGTCCTGGGTCGCTAACACCTAGATAATATACATAACAAACACTACAGAGCTTATATTTTCCACCTAATGAGCTAGCACAATTTTCTTTTGGATTTTCCACACATACATTTTGGATCACATACAAGTGATCCCAAATTATTTAGATTTAGCTTGTTACTTCACGGAAGGGGAAAGAGCATTGAGTAGGCACCAGGATGAAAGACCGGGATGCTGAGAATGCCAGGAAGATGACTAGATTGAAACAAGAACTCCTACTCAGTTCTTTGTAGCCAGTGTCGTCTCTCTTACTTGCAGCCAATTTAGGTTACGAGTCTCATTATGAACGGACTGCTGAGCAGGGGAGCTACTGGGAATGAGGGGTGGAGTTGAGCTGACTGCAGGACATGGAAGATAGAGGCCCTTGCTCTTGCTTTTCCAGTTGTGACTTGCACCCTGGTTCTGCTGGGATGGAGACTTGGAGGAGAGACATGTAAAGACACTTGGAAAAGATACTTGGAAGAAACACGGGTGAGAGGCTCGTGGGGAGGCTGACCCTACTCCTTGGCAGAGACAATGGCAGCTGTTGTCCTGACTTCATAGGGGATGATTTGGTACATTTAGAATTCTGAATATCTCCTTTCATCCCAGCTCTCTGAGACCTGTCTGACTCCCCACTGGAAAGTACCTTAGACTTGCGGCAAGCTTTCAGACCTCAGTGCTCTGGTTTGGGCTGAGTCAGTTTGGCTGGGCCTTTGCCCATAAGGGGATGGGTAATTTTGGAGGTTTTATTGGGAACTAATATCCTTTTTTATCTTCTCCCGATGTAAAATAGTTCTGTTAAACATCCTTTACAGTAAGAGTCTGCTTCCTTTGCCTTTGTGTGCTCAGGTGGCTGAATCCTTTCTGAGCATGTACCCCTTAACAGTTTGGGGTCCCAGGGTGCCCCTTAGTTGCATGCTAACAACTCTGGCTCCTATTTAAGCACAGTCTGAAATTAGACCAGCAACAGTGCATCTCTCTCATCCTTACCTGGAATGCCAGGGGGCCCTGGAGGTCCAGGGGGGCCTTGGTAGCCTCGGAAGCTGTAGTCTCCATGGCAACACTTGCTGCAGTCTGGGGGCAGTCCTCCAGTTTGTGGAGACTTGAAAAAAGATGCAAAGAGAAGCTTTAGAAAAAGGTCCTTGTGAGTGATTGGTCCTTATAAGTTTTTTCTGGCTTAGGTCCCTAAGTAAGTTTAACTTCAAACAATCCACAACAACATCAGAAAAGATGGCATGGGGTGGGTGGGTGAAGGGCAGAGGAGTCAGGGAGTAACTAAGGTGAGCTGACAGTGAAAAAGGAAAGGAAGTAAGAGTCAGTAGAAGATATCGTTTCTTGGAAAGGAGTGTGTGTGGGGAGATATTTCTGGAAAGTACTTCTGCAGACCTGGGTTTAAACTTCCCCTCATGCCCAACTGGCAGTATCTTCCAATAAAGATATATTGAGATTTTTCATCATTATCAAGTGACAAAAATTATCAATTTCAAACATTAAGACATTCTAGATTCATGATCCTGGGTTGAGTTCTTAGAAATACTGGATTGTAATGATAGCTTTCCAGACAGTCACAACACACTTAAATTACCTTAGGAAATTAAGGAAATAAAGTATTCATTTGCTCAATATATTTCTATTGATTATTTACTTGAAACAGTTTTAACTTCCTCAGTATTTATAAGGTATTCTGTGCCATGTTCTGCTTCAACATTTAAAATGACTATCCTATTGTTTGAACCAATACTTTGAGTAATGGGCACTAAATGTATTCACATATAAAACTGAGTTAAATGTTTATTTATTCAAAATAAATTTCCACAATTTGTGCTTACTGTCAAAGGGTTAGACATCTAGTGGAAACTGGCTAGAGAAAGAGTTTGAGTTGCTTGTGAAATTTTAGAGTCTCCCCTAAATTGGCAACTTGCTTTTCAATGATATCATACAAAATACTTGTGGAAACTTTCCTAGACACCAGTTATAAATCAACAGTCTTTTGAAAAGAGCACATTATTGCTAAGGAATTTAATTTAAAAAGGAAGGGAAGGGAGGGGAGAGAAAAAGAGAGAGAGGCAGAAGGGAGAGGAGGAAGAGAGGGAGAAGGAAAAAGAGATAAAATTTAAAATTCAGGTTTTCTCTATCACTAGAAATCCTAGCAAGAAAAAGGATCAAATCTTCATATTGCTGTACATTTAACTTTTACTCTTTTTTATTTAATCCTAAATGGGCTTGAACTTTTTTTTTTTTTTAAATAATGATTCTGGGATATTTATTTATTTATTAAGATTTATTTATTTGTTTATATTTTATTTTTATACAAGCACTGGGTACAGTCAGAAGTGCGGGAGGGTGAGAGAATTCACCAGAGCCAGAGCAGGGAGCAGAGCAGGCAGAAGGACCGAAGTACACTGCTGAGGGGAGCAGCGGGCGGCAGGAGAGGTCTGCGCGCCATGTGGGACCCTCCTCTGGTGGCCGGGGAGCAGACGGGGATCAAACTGGCGCCGCAGAAGCTGCGGGCAGCCTCGCAACCCAGCGCTCACCGCTGCGCCACCGGGGAGGCCTGGCTTGAACTTTTTGCTTAACTCATACCTTTTACCTACAGCTTTCCACCAAGCTATTTGGGGAAAATGCAGAAAAGCATCTACAGTTCAGCATTTTTCTGCAACAGCTCAGAGTGACCAGGAGCTACAGCATGGAGCTAACTCATTGTCTGGTTTGCAGTCTATCAGACCCAGCCCTGGACAGGATGAAGTCTAGGAAAACCTTCATCCAAGCAGCTGAGAAAAAGAAAATAAACTTAAGTAATTGATTCGAGACCAGGGATTTCAGACACTTGGAAATTCAAAGACATCACAGCAGTGACCCACCTACTGATCCAAATATGCAATTTGAGAAATATTCCTTAATTTCCTGGTACGATATTGCTAATGTGAAATACAGCTTTTAATCTCCAAGAATTCCAGGGCTTTGCCAATAATTGATTTTAAGGAAGGAAGGAAAATCTTGACACAGAACCGTTTAAGAATAGAACTGAAAAATCAGGATGCTGAGAATGCCAGGAAGATGACCAGATTGAAACAAGAACTCAGTTCTTTGTAGCCAGTGTCATCTCTTTCCCCTGAACCATTTTTCTTGTCTACTAAATTAGAACATTGAATAAGATGGTCATGAATTTCCCCTCCAGCTCTTCAATGCAAAGATACTAAATAAAGTCTTTCCCAAAGCCTCCAAATAATGACTTAGAAAGGTTTTGTTTCTAAAGCCCAGTGTCTATGGTGATGGTTCACAGGTAATTTTATGGGGATTACACCGGAGAGAAGAATGAAGGACGATGTAAACAGTATATAAGTAATAAATAAATAAATAAAGTCCAGTATATCTGGGCATGTCAAGTTAGTTCATCAGGTGGGAGTGCTCAGTACCTAGTTCCAGCAGCACCTTGAGGTCATAAGGTCAAAATAGCCGAGACTGCTGGGTACTGCTAGTCAGGCACCTCCAGAAAACCCTCCTGTGGCATTTCACACCTTGTCTCAGTCCTGGTCCTTCAAAAGTTCGATTAAATATTTAACTGAATAATTCCGTAAACTCTTAGACAAGAGGTGTTCATTTGAAAGTTTCCCTCTAGGCAAGGGAGGATTACATGCAATAGTTCCTTTATATCGCCCTCTTAAGTTTACCAACCTCTTTCTATCAACAGGTCAAATTTGGACAGCAAAGGCAAGCAAGTGGGCAGCAGGGAGGAGGAAGGTGTCTCTAAGATAATTTCCATCCATTTTGTAGATGGAGGGCTTGGAGCAGCTACTTAGAGTTGAGATTTACTCTTAGGAAGTGACTTCTAGAAAAGAGAGGGCACTGCTCTTTTTTTAACCTAAGGCAGAGAGCAGAGAAAGGAGAAGGGAATTGGAGAGAGAACGGGGGAGCGGGTAGGTGTTCAGGATGAAGAGGGGAGACTGCTAAAGGTGAGCAACTAGTTGCTGTGAAAAGAAAATCCCAGGAAAAGAGAGCACAGGTTGGCTGACCCAGGGCGCTGCACCCCTTAACCCACCAGAACCCTATGGCCCCAGCCATCTTTCCAGAACAGAAACCTAATCCCCTCACTGCCCTGCAATGAACAGTCAAATACAACCTTTGTGGGCAAAGTCAGTCTGATCACCTGTTCCCTGGCCTGGGATCATTCTCTGGTCTCCTCCCACAGCCCAGGGGAGTCCTCTAGTCACCCCAGCTCCTGGCAGCTCTCTCAAGTCTCCATGCTGTGGCAAGGATTTTTTAATTGTTTCTTTTGTGGAAGAAAAAGGAACCATTTTCATCTCATCTTTTAAGGTCCAACTCCTTGGGAACCACCACCTGACTCTTTTTCCAGCTCCCTTTTGTGTGTGTGTGGTTTTTTTAAAAGATTTATTTATTTATTTATTTATTTATTTATTTATACATACGTACAAGAGCTGGGGTACAGGCCAGAGATGCTGTGGGGGGGTGGTGGTGGTGGTGAGAGGATTCACCAGAGACAGAGCAGGGAACAGAACAGGCAGACTGATTGAAATACACTACTGAGGGGAACAGCGGTGAGATAGGAGAAGTCTGCCTCACCATGTGGGTTGCTCCCTGGCTGCCGGGGATTGAACTCATGCTGCAGAGGCTGCGGATTGCTTCACAGTGCAGTGCTTAATCCCTTGTGCCACCAGGGAGGCCCTCCATTTTGTGGTTTGACCCTCAGTGACTGGCTGACATATTCCTATCTACTCCTTCACATGGTTCAGAGACAGGAGTGGGTGCACATTTATCCCCCTCCTAGAGCGTGGTGTGTAGTAGGACATGGAAAATGAGGAGAAAGGAGAATTCAGGGTCTCTCTGGTGGTGCAAGGGGTTAAGCACAGCACTGAGAAACTATCTGCAGCTACCGCAGCAGAGTTCGATGGTCCACGGCTGTCCAGGGAGCTGACCCACATGGCACAGCAGACCTCTCCTGTCTCTCCAGCTGCTCCCCTCAGCAGTGTATTTCAGTCAGTCTGCCTGTTCTGTTCCCCACTCTGTCTCTGGTGAATCCTCTCACTCCCCCACTTGTGGCCTACACCCCACTTCTTGTATGCATAAATAAATCAATCTTTTTTTTTAAAAAAGGAGAATTCAAATAAGACTTAGATTCTGTGAAAAATATGGAGGTTCCAGAGGGGGAGGTGGAGGGAGGAAGTGGGCAGAGTCCATTTGGGGGGTGACTGGACTAGAGCTTTGGGGGCTGGTGAAGTGTGATAAATACACATATCGGGGTGTGAAGCTGCACTCCTGAAACTTATGGAGTGTTTTAAACCGAGGGTAAGTCCACAAAGTTTTGTATAATAAAATAAGAGGGGTGGGGGAGTGGGGGATAGAAGGAAGAGCACAGTGCAGGGATCAGCTCAGCGTGGATCTGCACATTCTCTGGCATAAGAGTTATACTGAAAACCTCCTCAGTATTAACGACTAAACCTCCTTGTTATCTCCTACTGGGGGTTTGTTGGAAAATACTTTAGGAATCAGGGTTGGGGAAGAGGGGTGTAAACCCCTCTAATTTCAAAAAGCCTCACTTTAAGAAAAGCAAGGAAGTGGTCTCTTGTCCCCCCATCTGATTTCCGCAAGCTTGATACCTAGAAGGTAAGTCAAAATCCGTTTCTTCCTGCTCTGAATGTTTTCAATTAAATCTAGTTCCACCAATTTGCAATTCACTACACTGAAATCTTAACTCACTGCCGTCCTCACTCTCGGAGCATTCAAATTGTTGCCTTAGAGGCTGAGCTTACACACCCCAGACATAAAGCAAGTCCCCTGTGATTATCAGGCATTACATCACACCATGGGGTTTGCATTTTGAAGACACACAGGCTTTTGTTTGTTTTAACGCTTTGGTTCTGTTTTAAACGGACTGAACATAGCTCAGAAATCTAGAATGCTATAAATCAAATAAACAAGCCTAACATGAAATGCCACAGTAAACTCAATAAATCAAAGTGAAAAACTCACTTCCCTGCTGGGATGGATTAAGAGAGCCCAACTGTTTCAAGATCTGCGAATGATTATCCCCAAGTCTGTCTTTCTGCAGAGATTACCACTCCCCCATTTCTGTACCCACAGAGCAAGAAGGAAACCAAGTCCTAGCCCAGCAGGGAGCTGGCTGCCCTGTTCTCACCAGGCAGGGTGATGCCTCAGCCTCTCTTTATGCCAAGTCAGTGCTTCCAGTGCATATTAACCGACAGTCCCCTTATCGTTGTTGTCGCAGAGTCCCGCGCCACCCAGAAACAGCCCCCCCTGCCCCCACCAGCACAGCAAACATCTCAAAAGCATCCATCCTGAGAGCCTTAGCTGCAAAAAGAGCAAGAACAACAAAACTCATTCAGCTTTCCCAGTAATCCTTAGAAGAGAATCTGAGTACCTGGCCCCAGAATGGGGTGATCTGGGCTAGGTCATCTACCTCGGGGTGCGGTAGCTCATCCGGTCTCAGGGGTTTTAGGTCTGTAGAAGTGTTATTATCCACAGTCCCACTTTTAGGATGGCTCCGCTCTCTGACTTTCTCCCTCTTGGAGCTGCTACGGCCAGTCTGCTGGTGGCTTTGCACTATTCTCGCCACCACTTTATTTGCTCTTCCGCTCACCTCCATGTATTCATCTTGACACAGGCAAAAGGGGAGGAAAAACAAAGCCAGCAGGTGCCAACAGACGAGCTGCCTCCCCAGCATGATTCTCAACAGAGCCACACAGCCTCCTGGAGATGATGGCTGGGGCTCCAGGCGCAGTGGTCTCCTCGGGCAAGTGCCAGGGCTAGAGATGAGAGCTGCAGCCGGCCAGGCGGTTTTATACTTTGGTGTGTAATAAATAAGGCTGCAGGCATGCCAGAGGGAAAGCGGTCCTCCTCCCTAGGCAGAACAGCCCCCATTCATCACTTTCCCACACCACAGGCAAAACGGATCTGTGTGCACAGTTCCCAGTTGGGGGGGGGAGGGGCGTTCGTAAATGTCACACCTTGGCACGTTTTTTGTTAAGGGGTGAAGAAAACATCCACAACCAGCTGGACACAGGGAGCGTGTGTCCAGCGGTTTGCTGTCGTGATGACATGGAGAGGCTGTGCCTTCGAGGTCTAAGATGCCTTTTGGAAAAATCTACCCTTGGGCTTGCCAGGAAATTTGGCCTTAACTGCATCAATTCAGTCTGACTCGGGAGCCCATTCAAAGTAATCATAAGAGCTCTGCCTCTGCATGTGCACTTCCTGCTTCCCCTTACAGTAACTCATTTCCCCTCTGGACACCAGCCGCAGAAGGAGCTCAGTGATTCCGACACAGAGCCGGATTCAGAGTCTCTGGGTTGAGCAAAAGTATTTCCCTGCCCTGAATTTTATTCCCTTTTCCCTGGCGTTTCCAGAAACCAAAATTAAGTCAAACCTTAACCTAATCACCTAGTGATGCTAAGGATACAAACATTCTGCTTTGTGTTAGCAAGAAGGTGGCTCGTCTCAGCCCCCTTTGCCTTCTGAGGTTTTCTTGATGGAAATTGAAGAAATGGAAAATGCCAAGCCTGCCACACTACTCTGAGTAGGCCAGGATGGAGAAAATGATGGTTTCCTTTGTTTTACCTACTACAATCTTACTAATTCAGCCAAAGAGTGAAATGGGCATTCCTAAGCTCTAAGTGATAGTAAATTGAGAATTTGCAAAGTCTTGTCATTAAAAATTGCTTCCATTCACCTATCACTTCATTTACAAGCACTCACCCATTCACTGGCCCTGCCCATGGAAGGCGGGAGAGGCCTCAGGGCAGCGGGGGGAAGGGACACGGGTCTAAAGCTGAGTGGACAAGGGTGGCCCTGTCATGAAGTCCCAGCCCAGAGAAAGCAAGCATGGCAATGAGGTGACAGAGATGCTGGAGAAAGAAAAGAAGCCAGAGGGCTGCTTACAGCTGCCCGCCTCACTCAGCCAAGGGCCTGAGAACCACGACAGTCATCCCCTGAACTGGCCAAGCCAGCCTGGCCACTGTTGCCACTTCCAGAACAGCTGCCTCTAGAGCCCACGTTTATGCAGATAGGATTTGGTGCTGGGGATGGAGTGGGAGTTACTTGTATAATAAAAGCTCTTCAGCTCACAAATGTAGGGGCTCGGGAGTCATGCTTGTTCAGACCTCCCAGATCCCCCCTAGGGGCTCTAACAAGTCCTGTCACCCCCATTTCCTAAGGCTGCCTTCTAGAATGTCCTCACTGATGTGAGGAGCACTCTTTGGCAAATATCCCTGGGAAGGCTGGTGCATAGTGTTGTTTCCCTGGATTTCACTCTTGCTGGGGCTTTTTTTCCTAATAGGCTGAGGAGGGGTAACACCGGGTATTGAGGGTGAGCTAAGGGGTTGTTATTTCTCCAGGAGAAAAGGTCCAGGGGACTGACTCAGTGAGAAGCTCCCTCATCAGGGAGGCCTGAAAAAAGTTTACAGAGAGACCACAAAGCATGAAATGACTCTGAAAGCTAAGCCACTGCTTGGGGAGTTGCCTGAGAGCTGCCCCTGTTTTTACCATCAGGCAGCCGCCACGGCCTGGACCATCTGGCTCAGCGGCTACAAGTCACGGACCTCTGACTTTCAGCTGCACTGAGACTTTCTGGGGGCAGTGGGGGTGGGAGAGGTTTCAATTCTTTCATCTATTAGAGTGGTTCTCAATCCTGACTGCATCTGAAAATAAAACCAGGGAGCTTCTAAATATATCAGGGTTTGGATACCCGCCCAGACCAATTCAGTCGAATTCTCTAGCCCGGCCTTGGCACCAATAGTTTTTAAAAAGTTCCCCAAGATGATTATAATGAGCAGCCAGGGTTAGAAACCTCCTTTCCTCAAAAGGAATAATTAATAATCGTCGCGAGCATGATAGATAAGCTTCAGTCAGAAGTTGGCACTCAAAGAGAATTTTATTCCTATGTTGGTCACACACACACTTAAGTTCACACAGGCAAGCCAGCCCCAAGTTCCCAAAGTACCTTTTTTTTTAAGATTTTATTTATTTATTATTTATTTATACAAGCACTGGGTACAGTCAGAAGCCCTGGAGGGTGAGGGAATTCACCCTCCTCCAGTGGCCGGGGAGAAGCCGGGGATCGAACCGGCACTGCAAAGGCTGCGGGCACGCTGCAAAGGCTGCGGGCAGCTTCGTACAGCCTCGCAACCCAGAGCTCAACCGCTGCGCCACCGGGGAGGCCCCCAAAGTACCTTTGACTGAAGACAGTAGCCACGACGTGTCTTAGCCAGGCCTTCCATCTAGGTGGAAGTCCTCCGGCCATGGAAGTCTCTAGGCTTGAGGGCCCTCAGTGAGGATGGTGATGCAGGGTGTTAAGCTTGTGCAGCTGTCAGAGAGCAGGTCACCTGGTCTCGGTCTCGGGGAGCAGAGCCGGGGAGTGCAGGTCGGTTCATGGTGTGCTGAATCGGGGAGCTGGGAGGGAGGAGAGGTTTCAGCTGGAGAGCGAGTCTGAGTCCAAAGGAGGCAGCGAGCTGGACTCCAGAAGAGCAGCCTCCCAAAAGTCCTTTGCTGAGAGCCAGTTTTTAGGACTGCTCTGAGTCTGCTTCAGGTAGCGGCTCCTTTTATACCTTCTTATCAGGCTCAGGTTCAGGCACCATCTGCTTTACCAGTCTCTCAGTACGTGGCCTCAGCTAAAAGATCTTTACCAATACTCAGTACGTGGCCTCAGCTACCTTCACTCACAGTGCTCGCAGGCACCTTAATATTTTTTGTTTTACTTTTAAACTTTATATGTTCGTTACAATAATAATATAGTATCTTTAAATTACCGAGCACTTGTCATGCACCAGCCAAGTTCTTCTCTGTTTTAGCTCACTGACTTTTCTTAGCAAATCTACTATCACCATCTTTTAGTTGAGGAAATAGAGGCCCAGAGAGGTAAAGTGATTTGTCTGGTGTTACACAGCTAGGAAGGGGTCATGGGGCTTTGCTTCTGTCAATCCTCCTGCCTTCCTTCAGCGAATAAGGGGAAGAAAAATGACAGGCAGAGCTGTGACCATCCACAGTGACCATCCATTGTGACCATCCACAGTGACTTCAGGAGGCCTGCCTAAAAGAATTAGGGCAAAGGGCCTCCCCTGGTGGCGCAGCGGTTGAGCACTGGGCTGAGAGGCTGCCCGCAGCCTCTGCAATGCCAGTTCATTCCCGGCCACCGGAGAGGGTCCCACCAAAAAAAAAAAAAAAAAAAAAAAAATCAGGGCAAAGAGCTATGAGTTAAATTGCATCACCCCAAAAGATGTTCAAGTCTTAACTCCCGCACCCATGAATATGACTTAATTTGAAAATGGAGTCTTTGTAGGTAATCAAGTTAATATGAGGTCATTAGGGTGAGCCCTAATCAGCTATACTATATCCTGCTAAAGAGGAGAAACCTGGACACAACACACACACCCCGGGGAAAACACCATATTAAGAGAGCGCCAGGGACAGGGCAATGCTTTTACAAATTGCCCAAGACCAAAGCTCGCTAGCAAACCACCAGAGGCAAGGAGAAATGCCTGGGACAGACCCTCTCACAGCCCTTGGAAGGAACTAATCTTGCTGACGTCTTGAACTCAGACTTTTAGCCTCCACAACTGTGAGTTAGCAAATTCCTTTGTTTAAATCACCCAATTTATGGCCTTTGTTATGGCAGCTCCAGCAAACTCATGCAGAGAGCTTCTAGGAAAGCTTAAAAAAAACCAAAAACCAAAAAACAACAACTTCCAGATCCTATTGTCTCGCTGATAAGGAGATAGCAGCCTGAAATGAAAGGTTTAGCCAATTACTCGAGTTTATGGGTGGAGGGTAGCAAATCAGGCCCAGAGAAGCATCCCCAGCCTCACTTTGGTTTCGGTACCTGCCCATTAAATGCATTTTAAGCTTTGGCTGATTATTAAATCTTACTTGGGACTAACAGGTCATGTATATATGCTCCTTTGTGTCCAGTTGTTCAAAGATGTGAATTAGAGTCAGGCCTTATTTCTTGCCTATGGGTTGAATATTAAAAACATCTAGAGTCTGTCCCAGGCAAACTCTGGGATAGAGCTGAAGTCTAGAGTCCCACACAGCTGCATCTGGAGGTGAAAGGTCACAAAGATGCCTGGGCTCCTCCAGCTGGTAAGATGCACTGGGGTGATCACTGCATTGTGCTTGCTGAGCCCCCACAGACCCAACCAGGATGTTGACACAACCACCAGCCACCACATGAGGAGTAGAGGTACAGGCATGATTACATGTGAAAACTCTGTGAGTTAGCTCTGTATGCTAGAAGCAAATATTTGCTTAACTTTAAAAATGAAGCTGTTATGAGATGTATAGGAGCTCTGTGGCCTCCCCCACAGCGCTCTGCTGCGGCCTTGGCCATAAGGAGATCAGCTCTGGTCTGGCAAGGGACAGTCAAGAACTGTGTTGGGTTGAAGGTGTCTTTATATCCGCGCCAGCTTAGTGGGCAGCTGAAGAAGACGTCTGTTTGCAGGATTTTCAGAGCAGTCCCTCCTACCTCTTACCACTGAAAAATCTCCCTGTGCTCAGCTCAGTGAACTCTTGAGATTCTAAAGTCAAGACTTGATTATTTCATCGAAACCAATTAAAGATTTATTAAAATGCAAATAAATTTCAAATGCTCCCTGAGATGAGGTCCTTTAGCTGTATTTGGTCACTTATATATTGGTGTTGAAGATTCCTGGTGTTTAGATCCTTTCCAGTGAAGTTTCTTTTGGAGAAAATTAAACAAAAGGAGCATAGTGTATTCAGAAAGGAGACATTGTCAATATTAGCTATTGTCCTTTGAAGAAAAATAGAATCGTACTTGACATAAATATGAGGCAAAATCAAGAAGGGAAGTTGGTTGACTCAGGAGGATGTTGTGACCTTGATGCTTTAGTGACTGACCTTCATTTAGCAAGGACAAGA